TTGTCTACAGACGTTTTACTCTTAATTGAATTGTCTATTTCTATGATCCTGCTGCTTACAGGTTATCTCAATTGCAACACGTTATCTTATCACGCTGAGCCTTCCCTTGCCAATTATGATCTCTTTATATACCTTCATGATTATCATTTTGAAAAAAATATATACAATTGCGATTGTACAGTTTCAAAAATGAATCTGCCAAAAAGAGAGCTCTTCGCTGAACCAATATTTCTTATTTTATGATGGACAGTTAGCCAGATAAAAAGTATTCATCATTGGTTTTCCTTACTGGAAAAAACTTTTGAACTAGACAAAGAATGAGATAATGAGATTGATTCTTTTATTTGTTTATTATTATTATTATTACCGTTATTATTATTACTGATATCTGAAGGTTACTTTAGTTGTTTGTTTTTAGACGTAAACAGATTTTGAGTGGTTAAAACAACTTATAAGTTAAGCTCTTGAAAGCTACATATATCCTTTCAAAACATACTTCAAGATGATTAATAAGTAAGCGTAGATCGCACAGACAGATACCGAGTAAATTCTCAAGGTTACATAGAGTATAAAGCTTAGATAAAGTTGCAATCACATCGAAGGAGGAATATAATGGGAACATTGAAAAAGTCTCGGATCTCTTTGTATCTTTTATTGTCACTCATGATTAATTATTAATTATCTGACGAGTTATACTGTCCTGTTGAAATATTTTTTCTAAAAAAGAATGACAGTTAAAAAATGTTTCTCTGTATCTGGAAGAGATTTTGAAATAATTTCAGCAAGTGAATCATTAGTTCACTTATGACTTCACTCATTCCAATGGTTTATCAAATCTATTGAGTTCTTAGAAAAATGGACAATAAATATGTATGAATACTAAATAGTTGAAAGCGTGAGTCAATTGAAGCTAGACCACCATCGAAAACCTGGAAACACTGGACGGCCGTTTCGTCCTGTTATGGGACTCCTCAGCAGTGCGCGTCCACGAACTCGCTCTCGCGAGCGAGATTCGAACCCAGGACCTACCAGTCTCGAGCCGAAGCCCTTAACCGACAGACCACTGAGCTGGCATCCAACGGTGTTAATGTCTAACTTCAAATGATCCACGAAGTTGAGCAACCATTCACCAATTGTCTTCAGTGAGTTCCTATTTCAAAACAGACGTGGTTTTGAACTCCACTGGTCACTGCTTCTCACTAGAGCTCCTAGATATACTTATCGAAGTCACTAGTGAGCATAAAAGTTGAAGTTAAACATTAACACAGTTGGATTCCGGATAGCTCAGTGGTCTATCGGTTAGGGGCTTCAGCTCGAGACTGGTAGGTCCTGGGTTCGAATCTCGCTCGCGAGAGCGGGTTCGTGGATGCGCAGTGCTGAGGAGTCCCATAATAGGACGAAACGGCCGTCCAGTGTTTCCAGGTTTTCGATGGTGGTCTAGCTTCAATTGACTCACGCTTTCAACTATGATAAATACTAAATCTCCACAAAACCCCTTCTATAGTTAATACTAAATAGGTCTACAGCGTTATTATTAAACACTAACAGAAATATGATGCATATATAGTGATTCACAGTATTTATCGGATTCAATGAATACAACAATGTAATAGTTTCGAAGGTATAAGTTAGTGAGACTGTCTAAGTGAATATTAGTTCACGACAAATTATCATCATTATGTGTAATAGTTTACGAACGTATTTTAACATATCGAACTGTAATTCTTAATGAGAGCACTTTCAAAGTATATGACCTCTCTAACTTGTGTTGATATTCTTTGAAAGTTGTTTGCTCTTTTTGGGTGGAGTGAGAGGGGAAGGGGATAGGCAATAGATGAAAAATTTTCATTTCAAAATACAATTGTTAAATAACATTTTGAAAAAGTCGAAGATGATAGTTTAACTTTCAATAATTCAACAAAACAAACCATACTAATTTATTTATTTATTTAAACACATAAATATTGGTACAAAGGGACACAAGATATATATGCGCTACACAAATCTCAATTGATTTGTGTGAGGGCTATGATACTGCCCGAGTGCCCAAGCCGAAACAGGGGGTTTTCTTAGGGGGACACACCCCGAGACTTTGACCTAAAGGTCTAATCCACAAGGCAGTGGAACATCGTGAGGAGATACAGTCCCATGGTAGCCGGTGACTAACAATTGATTCATACGTCATTTGTTCCCTCAGGATACTGGAGCCCATGTGCACCATTGGTTTGGAATCAGGGCTACACCATGTTCCTATGGATGGAAGGACATAACGAAATTCTGTATATGACTTTTAAATAATTATCTTAAGGAGGAATGTACAATTTCCAATGAACAAGATTCTATTCTTAAATAGGAATAATATATTTGTACATCAACTCGGCGCTCAAATACTGTGAAACTATTCGCTCTAATTTAGACGAGAGTTCTCATATAAAAGATTCTATTCTTCTATCATGAATTTATTCAAAGTTTTATTATTCATTTGTTCTGATCTATTGAGATCTCTTCAAATACCTAAACTTAGACAAGTATTGAATTATCATATAAATTGATGATGAGGTTTATCAATCTTTTTATTCATCTGACAACTATTTATTATTACAGGGTCATTTATTTTAATGGGATTTAATCACATTCAATTTAATTGATTTTATCCTTACATCACTGGAACGGGAAACTGAACCTTAAGATATCTTAAAAACGAAATTAAAAATTCATTTTTCATTAGCTGTTTGAATCTTCCTTTTGATGTTTAAGACTGCAATTGATCAGTCTCTTATTGGCATATGTGCATTCTGTGTGGATTGCTTCGGTATTGCCTTAATTCACAAGCATTATAAGGAGAGATGGATGATGGCTATTAGTGGAATCCAGTCCTAAACATCAATGAGAAGATTCAAACAAACAATACAAAAATGAATTAAAACTTCACCCCATTTGCACAAACTAGTGTCTATCAGCACTCATTAGCTAAGTAAATAACGCTATGACGTTTGAAGTGAACGATACTAGGTTCGAGTCTTGCAGTGAACATCAACTCTGAGATGCAGACGCATTGAGCTGACCAGTCCCAAATAGGAAGAAACGGGCGACCTGGATCCCATTGCTTGCCACCGTTCATCTTTACTTGAAATTAAAAAACCTTTTCGCCACTTTCCTTAGGTCATGTTAAGTGAATAGTTAAACTTGACTTTTGGACGTTTTTTAACTTTAACACATAAACTACGCTTCAGGAGTCAAACTAATCACTATTTTTGGCGACAAACGTTTTAACAGGCATTTGATAAGGTTTTTACATAAACGGTAAGAGTATTTCGTAGACTAATATTGTTATTCAAAAGTCTTGGAGAAAAGTGAACTTGAGGCAAACATCTCAATCACGATATTAGTAATTGGATGGTAGGGTATAATGGAGGCATATGAAGGGTGAAGGGGTGAGGCAAGACTAAAAATTCATCAAGATGTTTATTGATGATGGGGTTTGTAATTTTAGAATGTATATAACTATCCGAATTAGGTTGTCTAAATGATGAATTTTGACACCAGTAATAATAGTGATAGTTATAGAATTAATACCACTTCATTTTCATGGTAATAATTAATTATACTAAGATATCAACTAACCTTTTTTAACTCCTGAGCAGACGTTATGTGAGAGCAAGTGTTCGAAACCGAATAGATTAACTGGCTTACTTCAACAAGCATTATGCTATGTCCTTTAATATTCAGTGCTTTTCAGATTGGCTGTTCCTAAGAAACTTGATATATTTATAATTTAGCTTCCATAATAAAATGACATCAATTTGAAAAAAGTATATACAAAATTCAAGCGTTAATGAACGAATATTTCATTCTGATTCAAAACTTTACAATAGTGTAAATCGGAAGGGGTTTTGTGGAGATTTAGGTAATTTTATAGAATTGAGATCATGAGTCAATTGAAGCTAGACCACCATCGAAAACCTGGAAGTACTGGATGGCCGTTTCGTCCTATTGTGGGACTCCTCAGCAGTGCGCATCCACAATCCCGCTCTCGCCAGATTCGAACCCAGGACCTACCAGTCTCGCGCCAGAGCACTTAATCTATAGACCACTGAGCTATCCGGCATCCAACTGTGTTAATGTCTAACTTCAAACTCAACCAATCCACGAAATTGAGCAACCATTCACCAATGTCATCACCGACCTGGTTGAACTCCACTGGTTACTGCTTCTCACTAGAACTCCAGGAAATACCTCATGTAGTCAGTCACTAGTGAGCATATGATCATTATCAGAAGGGGCTTTGTGGGGATTTTAGTAATTTTATAGATTTGAGAACATGAGTCATTTGAAGCTAGACAAACATGGAAAACCTGGAAGCGGGATTGTGGATGCGCACTGTTGAGGAGTCCCACAATAAGATGAAACGGTCGTCCAGTGCTTCCAGGTTTTCCATGGTGGTCTAGCTTCAATTGACTCATGATATGAATTCTATAAAATAGTGTAAATCATTTGTCCCGTCTTTTACAATTCTAACTCTATAAACTAACAAATTTTTCTTTGAATAGTCGTAAAACTGTAAAATGATTGACACTTCTGAACTTGAATTAATAATTCTTTTTTTGCATATTACGATCACCTTAGTGTTTTATTGGAGGGTCCCGGTTTACATATGTACCATAAATAACTGAAAATTCTTAAGTTTTATAGGTAAAACTATTGTTGGAAGTATTCATATGACTTACTTAATTCTCTTATCAATACTAAGAAAATAAATATAGTCAAGTACTTAGTCTGGTACTCATGGTACTATCATTAGTAGTTATATTACTATATTTTGATGTATTGATAATAATCGCAAGAATTAGTGGCAGAACAATAAACAATAAATGGATATAGGGTGGATGGTAGATATAAAATAGTTTAATTTACCTAGAATTGGTATATACACCGTGTTTCATAAATACCTTTTTCTATGTTACTAAAGTGTTACCGGCAATAGCCTATTCAATAATAATAATAATAATAATAATAATAATAACAATAATGTGTTCATTTCTTTTCCTATTCCTCTCTCTGTCTCTTTGCGTGTGTATAGATGTTGGAACATCAATCAAATTTGATGAGAGATAGCAACTAGAGAGAATAAAATCAAAAAAACATTCTACTATAACAAGAAAGGTGTTAGAATAATTGTGTTTTTCTTTTAGAGAAGACAAAGGATTAATAAAGTAAAAATACATTTTTCCGAAAAAAAATTTGCAAAGTTTAAAAAGAAAAACAGAAGTAACTAACAAAAAAAGTACACAAGACTCATCATATTGTTATGACAAAATAAGAAAAGTATTTATTCACTATGTGAATATACTTAAACTGGTTTCTTCTTAATGACAAAAAAGTTAGTGTGATCAAAACAAACAAACGAAGCAAACATTCTCGTGACACAAATGAAACAAATGAGTATACTTTGAAGATGAATAACTCATTCATGAGCAATAAGGTAGACTGAAGTAGGAGATTGAAATAGTCAATTAGGATAGAAGATTTATATGGGTTGCAGGTATTCAATTATCAATGTTTTCAAAAAAGTTATTCACTTGTAATGTAAATTTCAAAGTAATTGTGTTAGGGTTAGATATATGATTGTGGGTAGAAATGATAAGTTGGTTGATGATGACCAGAATGTCATCGACTAACGAGGTTGCAACATGTGTTGCATATACCTAATCATTTCATGGGCCTACAAGTACTAATGAAAGGCATGAAATAGGTTGGAGGAAATCTAAGAATATGGTATCAGTTCACTAAGTCATTAACTGTTAAGCTTAGTTTTGTTGTATTTAGGATCCATAAGATGTATGATTGAAAGCAATGGGTGACATGAACTAAAATCCCACTAATTCTCTATATTCTTTTCAATTTGAAGTTTAATTTCTTTGCATGCATTTGATTCTTCGGTACCACCAGTCCCTCAATGTCTAATCCTCACATTTAGTTTTCCACTGCAATTGATATTATTTCCCTATATATGGTACTCAGGCTGTCGATTTTCTTTTTTTGGGGTAATGTAAAGTGTTACGAATCGGGATGATAAACAATTGTACCTGGTACCTTATTATCCATGACAAATTAACTAATATAAATACATCAAATGTAATAATTTCAAAATCAATTCACAAAATAGTAATAGATCGAGTAAGACTTTAGTAATAGTAGATGTATTAGTTGTCATTATATGTTATAAAGGCTTTTGAATATACACGAAGAAACTGAGATAATCAAAGAGATCTGGTTTACAAAGGGAAAAAGTCCAACGTTGTCAAGTTTTCTTAATAAATCTAAGGGTATATTGGATTTCTATGTGTTAGTCATTAGGGTCCAAGATTTTTTTCATCTTAACCAAAATAATTGAAACAGTTCTACTCGTTGTTCATTAGAGTATTTCCCAAGAAACTTACCATTCAAGTAAAAAGCAGACGACAATATCAAAAAGTCAGTTGTTTACTAGTAATTACTTGAAATCGTAACAAAATTCTGTATTAGTATAGAGTTGTGAAGGTAGTTAGATTCCATTGAAATCACGAATCATCTGCACAGTTAAGACTACCTTCGAGAGGAAATTTCCGGCGTTCTAATGAGAAGCCAGGACCAGTAGAGCTAAACCGTGTATGGTGTGAGAAAGTTGCCAACTGAAGTATTGATTGAGGTTAGACATTTACACCACTAGTTAGCGTCTCAGTTACTTAGAGGTTGTGTCCGTATGCGAGACCGGAAGTCCTGGGTTCGACTCCCAGATTCAGAGTTATAGGTGTGCACTGGTGTGAAGTCTTAAAAAAGGAACGAAACTGTCGTCCCGTGCTTGCAAGTTTTCAATGGTTGTCTAGTTTAGGTCGGTTCGCGATTTCAATGAAATTCAACAATCTACACAATCTTTTACTTACATGATATTCCAATGTTATTATAAAGAATTAGTGGAAATCGTCTATAACTAAAAGCCTACAAAGTACATATTTATGTTTGACTTTATGACATCATTGTTGATAACAATTATTATAGTAATACTAAAAATATTATTAACAATTTTGTTTTATTTTTAGAAAATAAAATAAACTGATATTTATACACGTCTAGGTCACATATTATCCAAATGTTTGGTATAGATCATGTTCGCTTACGATATATATTTAAAAATATTCTAATGTTTACTTCAATTTTTTCTGTTATTTTAACCCTGGTGTTTTTGTTTAGCTTACTGATTTACAGTGATTAGTTTAATGTTAAAATTGGGTTATTTGCTGCAGATGAATGCTAGCTGAAGTCCATAAGGCACTAAACAGTTGTTATTTTTATAGCTTGAGATTCTTAAGGAATGAGTTTCCATGACCCTACAAGCGATTGAATGCAGGGTTTTTTGGCCTCATCACAAGTGGTCAATTTTCAGATTATTAAATTGAAACCAGGTTCGAACTTGTGACTCAACAGTTGGACAACAATTACTCCCCATTTTGAGATTTCAATCTAATCAAGCATGAATTCGGTTGATACAAAATTGATATTTTTTTTCATTTTTTTATCCAAAGAAAAAGGAAATGTACAACAAAATATTTACAATGGTAATATATAAAATCTAATACTGTACAGTTAAAATATCAAGAAGAGATAGGTGTATATGAGTATGTGAACAAACAAGATTTATAGTGGTGAACAGTACTAAAAATACTACTACTAAGACTAATATTAGTAGTAATAATAATATGTTGGAAGGAAATGTAACAGATTAGGCAATAAGTTACAATGTATTGAGTTTTTTTTCTTGTTTTTTTCTGAAAAGAATTAATGCATTTATCAAGCATTTTAATTATCATCATCGTCATCGTCACTGATGAAAAAAGTAGGTCGATAATCATTATTATTATCATCATCATCATGATCAAAATGTTGTCTATGCTGTACATTATATGTTGTAAATGAATTATCATTATGAGACATCATTTCTGATTCGTTTTGATGATATTTTGTATATTGGAGTATATTGTTTCGATGCAGTTGGTCATCGTCATCGTCTTGGTCGACATTCTGTGAACAAATGAAAATTTAAAGAAACAGAAATTATTAAGAAGAGATTAAGCAGTAAGGTAAATTCTGATAACTAGGTTGAAAGTTGATCATGATACTTTTTTATAGAGTTGAGATCATGAGGCAATTGTGTTATATCCCCTGGTGAATTATGAATGGTAAATCTGAGGTCTATTATCGACCAATGTATTATGCCTATTTCTTATTGTACAGTTGTTACGTAACTAAACTATTCATATTTGTATTTCTCTTATCATTAGCATTATTTTCATCTTTGATTTATTATCATACGATTCTTGAGTTATACTCAGTTATTGATTACTTTGGTTTGTATAAAAACCCATTATGTTTGTAAATAATGATTCATACCACTGAGGCTGTTATTGGTGTTTTGGACTTAATTGGCTGGGCTAGGCAGATCGCAGGACCGGTTAGCACTCTAGGCTGCTCGTACGGGTTTCGTGTCACTGTTCCAATCGAGAATTCGCTCTCCCTAATTGGCGGTCTCATCAAGTCACACATCAACTACCCATCCACTCGGCCACAAGCTAGACCACCATGGAAAACCTGGAAGTACTGGACGGCCGTTTCGTTCAATTATAGGAATCCTCGGCAGTGCGCATCCACGATCCCGCACTCGCTCAATTTTGTGGATCGGTTGAAGTTAGACATTAACACAGTTGGATGCCGGATAGCTCAGTGGTCTATAGATTAAGTGCTCTGGCGCGAGACTAGTAGGTCCTGGGTTCGAATCTCGCGAGTGCGAGATCGTGGATGCGCACAGCTGAGGAGTCTCATAACAGAACGAAACGGCCGTCCAGTGCTTCCAGGTTTTCCATAGTGGTCTAGCTTCAATTGCCTCATGATCTCAATTCTATAAAATTACTAAAATCTCCACCAAACCCCTTCTGATCATATATATATATATTGTTATTAAAAGAGGATAAGTAGAGAGATTATATTTTGACTTATTATTATGTTTATTCAGTGCACATTCCTTTGTATTCATTCAATAAAGACAGAAAAAGTCAGTTTGTACGCATTTCCACTAATTTCTGTCACTGATTAATCATTGCATGACAATAAAAAATGTATATAAAAAATGAATGTAATAGGGTTTTCTGAAGAGACAATAAAATCATCATCTGGTATCATTCTTTGTCTTTTATCTTGAAAGTCGTGTGAATCTCGGTTTGCTCCCTTTTTTCAAATCTAGTTTGTCACAGTTATTAACAACTAGTAAAGGATATGGGATTCGTACAGATGAGAAGAAACTCTAATAGATTGGTAAGACTAAGTTAGTTAACCTACTGAAATTTACTTCTTTATTTAATCATGTATATTTCTCAATTGTGTACTGATTGAAATTTATAAACTGTTGTAAGTGTAGTGAGTTCAACTAACTGCTTCTAGATATGAATTAACAATCAAATCAACAACAATGTCAGTAGAAATTGAAAAATTGTCTCAATCTGAGGTTTTTGTTATTACTGAATGTTATCTATTGCTTTTCTTAATAAATGTAAATGCATTGTGAGCTTACTAGGTCGTCTGATCTCTTTTTCTTTTGTTCTTATTTGAAGCTCTCTTCACTTAAGCTACTCTACATGGTTCTTTAGTACACAAAATACATTTTCGTCAGATGCGAACCACTACAAATATACGAGGTCTTAAATATTTCCATTCTACATGGAACACGAGTCAAATTGATAAGGAATTTGTGTAATTACTTCATTTGTCAATTATTGCTTTAATTAAAAGGGATATTTCATGACATAATGATGACGTAAAATACAGTGTCTAAATGAAGTGGTGAATTATCGTATTTTTTTATTGACGTAATAGACTTAACAACAATGAATAAAAGTTAGGATGTTAAATCAAGTAAATTGGGAATTTTATTCATTTGAAAGATAATTTTAATAATGAACTAACATTAGATGAAAAAAAACCCACCGAATCATTTTAAGTATCTGTAGCTGACGAGTTTAGAAATAAGACGAAACACACAATCTAGATCTTTCATTAAACACAATTTAATAAATTTGAATAGTTTGTATACACTCAGTAAATATCTTTGTTTTAAAGGTCATGTTGAGAGACGTCAATGGTAATTGAAAAGTATCATTTAAATAATTCAGTTAACTACCAACTCTCAGAATTTTAAATTACATATTTAAAAATGCCCCCTAATACCCTGGTACGGCCGAGAATAGGGAGAGTACGCTCTCCCTCTCCAAATGCTCTCACATGACCACGCGAATATATAGCCTCTGTTAGGGAAGTTCTACTCACTGCCTTCTCGTGGCATTACTGTTGTTTACGAAATTGAGAGGACAAAAATCGAATGTCCAGAGCTGTAACCGGGTTGGTGGACACGGAAAGTTCACCTAGGGGAGTTGGCAAACCCTGATTCCAAATCAATGGTGCACATGGGTTCCGGTATCCTGAGGGAACGAATGGCGTATGAACCTATAGATGGTCACTGACTACCATGGGACTGCATATCATCGTCTTATGGATTAGAACTTTAGGTCAAAGGCTCGGGGTGTGTCCTTCTAAGAAGACCACCTGTTTCGGTTTGAGCGCCCGGGCAGTATCCAAGCCCTCACATAAATCAAATGAGATTGTGTGGCGCATATGTATATGGTGCCCTTTTTTACCTTACAAATGAATATAATTGCCTATTCATATATCTATCAAATAATTACGCTTAAATAATGATACTACTCCATGTGTTAGGATATTACTCATTACTACTAGCATATAAATTAAAATATTAGAATAAATTACGAAATAATACAATAATAATCATTAAAATAAAATAATCCTTCAATATTGAAAATGATACTTACATAAGACACAATAGTTGCATCATTCTCATCAGTACATAATTCACCGCCTTGACCAGTTAAACTACTGTCATCATGATCATCGTCATCATCTGAATCGGTTAATTGTAAATCTTTTGCAACTAAATCATCATTTAAATCTAATTGGGAATAATCTAAATGACTTGTATTAGCTGTGGTAGATACTGGGATTTCTGAAATACCGGCAGATAACTACATTTTTTGAGAGAAAAAAAAGGAAACGACACTAATAATAATAAGGACTGAATAAAAATGAGGTTGTTGATGGTAAGTTGCACGATGCTTGGTTTGTTTGTCGTCAGAAAAGATGAAAAAGATAAATACTGGAGAAACGTTTAGAAGTCGAATAAATTCAACTTGAATGCATTGGAATAGTAGGAGGACTCTGAGACTATAAATCACTAATTCAAGAATTTCGAAGATATGTGTATAAAACTATAATATTTCAGTACAATTTGGGAGATATTTCTATCGTGAATCTGACGACCATCCTATGTTGTGTCATAAGTCTGTAACGCTGAGGAGTTTCAAACTAGGACAAAAATAAAGGACTAGTACTATTAATGCCTAGCATTCGAAACGCTACAGATCATTTCTAGATAGTACATTGTAGTTGCATAACTGTTGGAAATCAGGAAGCGTTGAACGACCGTTTCGTTTAAGTATGGGACTCTTTAGCGGTGCGTAACCACTGTTACACCAAGGGGTCGAACCTCAGACCTCTAGGTGTCGCGACGAGCTCTTAACCTTTATACATCTGGATTGACATCCAATGGTTTACGGGTCTAACTTCATTAGATTTGCGATAGTGCGCAGCCATATTTCCAATTCTACTGGAATAAGTTGGAAATGTAAACGATTGGGTGCCAACTCAATGGTCTGAATTTTAGCCCCCCAACCAACGAGGGCATAGATAAATACTGAAAAGGATGAAACAGCTAACTAGTGTTAATCAACTCTAATGTCCTGACCAACTAGGGTAATTAAGCTTATGCTATCTGAAATTATTTGTTTGCTGTATATTAAGTGGATGACGAAGTAGGCTAAACTAAACCATCATCAACATTCGAATAAGCATAGTGAACAAACAGTTTGCTTATATATGTTGTTCTAAAACAAACAGTTAACCTTATTTGCGGGTAGGTCAAATCGATAATATCACAAAGAATAAGAGGTAGATAAAGACTTCCTGTACACAATATACAAGGCATTTAGTTAGGATATATTAGTGTGTGTGCATATGTGTGTGTGTTAATATATATAGAGGATTCATATAAGGTCATGATGATTAAGAAAAATCAATATCTAAGGTCAAAACAGATAAACATAAAATACAAAATATGATTTGTACAAGGTAGGCGGGCTTTAAAAATAAACAACGCACAAAGCAGCATATTTAAATTAAATGAAATAACAATCATAAACAAAATGAAGGCAAAACAAAACAAAATTATGATAACAGTCGTGACGAATTCGCATCAATCTGAAGTATTTTCGTTTATTTATATGGTTGTACTTACTATATGTTAGAATGAATCTCAGCAATAAAAAAAACACGGTGACCTTGACCCTATTTTTAAAAATTGGTTTTTGATTATCATCATTAATGTCATTTTATCATTATTATTGGAGGTCGTCTGAAGTTATTTTAAGACATAATAATAGGCAATGTGTTTGAGGTTTGAAGCATTCGGGTAAAAGATTCTAAACCTTTCTTCAATTGCTTGTATATAGGTAACTAGGATGCATTCATCAGACCACAAGAATAAAGAAGACAGACAAGTTAGCTGGACAAAATGTTGGAATTATTTAAATTTCAATCGCTGAGATTATTTCAAATATAATTTTCACATATAATGACTTCTCTAAACTCGGCGCCCAATTTTTTGTCAAGCTATTCGTGCTAATCTTGACGAATATTCGTATAGAGTAACTCAAAGTTGAGAATATTAGCATGTACTTGCGAGATCAGTTACATAGGAGAGGAAAAATGAAGGAGTACGTGAATATATAGTCCTATGCAACGGAAAACTAATTTGAGACTAGTGTGTGTGTGTGTAATATTGTTCACAGAGTAAATACAATGTATTTATGCAAACTTAGTTATAGTTTTCATCTATCGTTTCACGATACGTAATATAAAACAAACGTAAAAATTTCCGACAGATATGATTTGTTCATCATACACTTAGTTAAGATAATTTACAAATACAGTCTAAAGTAGAAACAGACGGTGTTGATCATACTATCTTTTTTTTAGAATACATGAATAATAGGAAAAATGACACGATCCTGAGACAAGGTTTCATGCTAATTAATCATCATCAAATATGTGCATTTTTAATTTTGTACTGTCAAAAGCTACTCGTTGAAATCGTATCCGAGTAATACATATGAGTTCATCGAAGTCATTGCCATTTGGCCATTCACATAACATATCACTTACTGTACGATTGTGATTAACTCCATCTATTAGATTCATTATAAATTTACCATTCTATAATCTCTTTAGTACTGTACATTAGGTTTAATATGAAGACTTTGTTTTATAAATGAAAGAATATAACTTGAGTAGTCTTGATTATCTTTTTTCTGTAAACTGGACTTTCTTAGTATTTTTATAGAGTTGAGATCATGCGGCAATTGAAGCTAGACCACCATCGAAAACCTGGAAGCACTGGACGGCCGTTTCGTTCTGTTATGGGACTCCTCAGCTGTGCGCATCCACGATCTCGCGCTCGCGAGATTCGAACCCAGGACCTACTAGTCTCGCGCCAGAGTACTTGATCTATAGACCACTGAGCTATCCGGCATCCAACCGTGTTAATGTCTAACTTCAACCATTCACCAATGTCATCAATGAGTTAGTATTTACTAGAAATAAAACCCAATCAGTTGGGAGTTAAACGTTTCTGATGTAAAGAACAAAACAAACATCAATAATCTTTGACAATCCGATACAACTCCGCGAATGATTTGTATCAATGCTTAGAAAGTGTGATATTGTACTAATCAAAACTACACTGATAAAATGATCAAAATATTCTATGAAGCTTTCCAAATCATCAAAGTTCACAAGAACAAAAAAGACTAGGTCTTCCGTTAAGATAAATTTACAAGTATAGAAAACGCGAAGTTCAGTGAAGGGATCTCTTTTCAACGAATTTGTTATCAAGCTGTACAGTCGTATATATATATATATATATATATATATATATATATATATATATATATATGGAAAACTCTTTTTTTCTTAAAGTATTAGTTCCGTGAGGACATATGAAGAAGGAATAATAATAATAATAATGATGATGATGTAACCGAAAGATTGTAATATGGATAATAACAACAGACCTAATAAGTTAGTAACAAATTCTGACGTGAATACAGAAAATGCTTTCATAAACAATATACAAAAAGAAAATTCCGATATTATTTTCTCTTAAAAAAACTGAAAAATTGCAGTTTAAAGATTAAAAATGAAGTTTTTTTTTACTGTAAACAAATAAACAAACAAAACAATCTGATGTACTGATATATCTATATAAAATTAGTCAGTCAGTCAGTCAGCTACAACGTAGGACCAGGCACATTTATGCATCGGTCCAAGTTATATAAAATTAAGCCAAACAACAACAACAGCGGTTATATTAATAATAATGGCTTAATAAACAGAACAACAATCAAAAAAAATCAAATAAAACCGACCATTTATCAATACAACAAAGAAAGGTCATTCCATTAAGTGTGATTGTGAAATAAGTGTTGTTTACTTGAGAGAGAGAAAAAAAATAAGGAAGAAATAAAAACAACAAAACAACAAGAACGTCTGAAAAAATAAACTAGAATTGAATCTGGCAGGAAATGTGATTAGAACAGAGTAACGTTGAAATGAGAATAAATAAATTAGACACTATAAACTATAAATTTCTATTATTCAGCTGAGAGATTACACAATCACTGGGATATATATATCCATCTATAGACAATATAAATGTTCATTGTTGATTACGTAATAAAAATCATTTTTACCCATTAACTAATTAATTAACAGAAATGAAGGTACCATGAAAGAAATTTGTCTGGAGGTTCAATTGAACTGGTTGTTGGAAGGGATACAAAGAGTAGAAGAACACATTGCTCCAATTTTACAACAACAATTATGATAAAAAAAAGATTGGAAGGAAGGGGGAAAATAGTAGTAAAGAAAAGTTAAAATTGATTGGGAATAGAATGTCGTCTATGTAACTGTTTCATTCGCATTTTTTAAATCCTTGATCAATTCATTTCTCAGTATGGGGATCGGTTACAGTTAGATATTAACAGTTTGATGCCGGTTCAGTGGTCCAGAGGTTTGCGCAAGGGTGAGAATCCTAGTTTCGAGTCCCGCGTGGATTCGCACTGCTGAGTTTCATACTAAGCCGAAACGACCATCCAGTGTTTCTAGGTTTTCAATGATGGTCTAATATTGATCGGTTCATGATTACAAAACAATTCATTTCTGTTCCTCTTTTAATCTGAGATCTTAATTTATTTATACCCTTATATTAAATGTGCTATGTTAGGGGAGGGTGATCATACATAGAGGACTAATAGCAGATATGTGTATAAAGGATTTCGATTTATTCTACCAGTTTCTAAATTTCCTTATTGTGAACTATTCATGCTACTTAATAATTGTTAGTAGTCTGGGTTGTCGGCACTCATTTTAGTAGCCTGCATGCTGTGAAAATTATGACCATTTGTCTAATCTACTATTGTACTGTTATTTCGGCTAGTCAGTTCTTTTTTATTACTCAAGACTGTATTTCGTACTTTAATATCTACTGAAAATTATCTGACTGCATTTATAATCTGAACCTTTTGAAAATTCTGTCCATTTTTTAAAAATATTGTTAAATAGCCCGGGTTGAAATAATTATATTTTCTGTTATAATACTTCTTCAGCTAATAAACAAAGCTTTTTTCCGATTATGCTTTTGACAATTTACAGTTTGTGTTGGCTGAAGTTACACATGCACACAATTAGATACTGTCTCAATGGCCTAGATGTCAAGCATCCACATTTGAGTCCAAAGGTCTTAGATTCGATTCTCGGTTGTAGGGTCATGGATACGCAATACTGAGGAGTCTCGTATTAAGATGAAAGAGTCACCCAGTGCTTTCAGGTGTCCAATGGTTGTTTCATTTAGATCGGTTTTGGATTTTTTTTTAAAAAGTAAAATTTTACAGTTGTTTGCAGTGTAATTGGAGAGAAAGATTTCAGCATTGAATTTGAAATTATTATTTAAGAAACAAAAACAAGTATAATCCAGAATATTCAGGTTTCACAGTTAGTACAATGCCTACCTACCTACTTTGAGACCAACGAATTGGAATACAACGATTTATATTCTGTCAACGTCAATCAACTCAAGACAAAAAAAATGAAATCATTAATTAATGTCCTTTATAAGTTAATGTCTAATTTTCGACTTGGTTCGCTCAATATAGATAAAAGATTTTCATTGAAAACTTTAGTAGATCCATTTGACAGCTAGACACTACTAATATGGGTATACGATTAATTCAATTTAATTTTATGAAGTCAAATCAAACTATTAATCAGTAAAAAAACTACTTACTCGAGTTTCTTCATCAATATAAGTAGGAAATTTATCTTGTTGAGAACGAAATTCAATAACACCATCATCAGCATAGTCATTATCATCATTTTCCCCATCTTCGACATCATCGTCAACATTTGTTAAACTTGTATATTGATTCCAATCATTTGTTTGTCGTGAATTTCCATTGGAATGCAATTCTTGACAAGAATTTAACGAATTATCCACATCATAATCAGCATAATTATCAACATTTTGATTGTTATCATCATTGTATTGCTGTAGATTATCATCTCCAACTGTGTGTTCACTCGATTCAGAACTACGTTCGCTTAGATTGGATACAATTTGTCTTAATTGATTATTTGCAGCGTGGCTTCGACTAGTCGTTGCCTCTTGACAATTCCAATCAAATGAATTCTCATCATGAACAGTAATACTACGTTCCATGTAATCTGTTAAGGAATTTAGAAATGAAATTTAAACAAATGTTATTATTTTCAAGAGTGAATCTATGAAAAACATTGGAACTTGAATAATAGTAGTAATAATGATATGAGAATCGAAACTTTATTTAGTAGCTTAACAGTATACATACTCAGTGGAAGGTGAAAAAGAGATTACTAGTTTGAGTAACCATAGTACTTCTAAATAATTTATTCTCACATTAAATACGCGGTTCGATGATACGTGTTAAGTTTGAATATATCAACAAATTTGTATATGTACACTCATCTATTACAATTTCGATTTTTGGTAATTATCCAAACTCAGTGGAAGTACCATGGGAAACTGGGATACACTGGATGAGTGTTTCGTCTTTGTAAGGGACTCTTCATGAGTGTGATCATTGACCCACAAGGAATTGAATACAGGATTTTCAGGTGACGCAGGGAACATTTAATCGGTAGAAACATTGGGTCGATTTCAATGGTACAATTTTAACTCCAACCTATTTGTGACATAGCATGATGATTATATGAAGCCATTAGTGACAAATCTTTCACTCCCTACATGTTTGAACTTCTCACAAGAACTTCAAAAACATGTTGAAGTCGCTAGTGCGGTTATGAAGGAGTTTTGTAGAGATTATTTGAATATGTTAGTTGTATTGCAGATTGAACTTAGTTGAGGATGCACACTCTTGAGAAACCACACATTAGGACAAAACAGTCATCCGGTATTTCCTGGTTTCCAATAGTGCTCCAACTAAGATTAATCCATAATGAGAACCTACAAATTAAACTAACCTTCACAAAGTGACTTCAGCTAAACTATCCAAGCTAAAGAATCAACGATAATTAGATGTTAACTGTGAGATCTGATGATCTTGTGTATTTAACCTCCTCTAAATACTTACACATTTGTCTTGTGTAGTAAACTATAGTCTTAAACTTACATTAACTGAACAAGTGTTCTGTACTTGTTCGTACATATTGTTGAGGAGTTACAAAGAAGTATGAAACGACAATGTAGTTATTCGTTTGAAAGGATAAGAACTATTTTGAAGGTATATCCTTATAAAGATATTTAAATATTTGAGAACTTTTCATTTGAATGCAGTTAACCATAACATAATAAATGTAAGTAAGTTACTCTGATTAAGAAAAAAAAAGGAAGACAAGTGTGGTGATAAATGTTATGAATTCATTACTTTATACGAAGGAAAAATGTCAACATTCATTTAATTATGAAAAAAGGAATTAGATAATTGTTTATCAAATAAGGAAATATTGTGCTAAACAGTTGTTTGTACTGTCATCCATGAAAACTGTTTATTCAATGCTTACAATTTTTCAGTAAGGGGTTGTGGAAATTGTTGAATTACATTGAATTTATGAACCGATTTAAGTTAGACCATCATCAAAGACCTAGAAGCACTGGAGGGCTGTTTCAATGAAATTCAACAATTCCCATAACTCCTGACTGATAATTATCGTGTCCTCATTGGTGAATAGTTTCGAGAGGAAACTTCAGAAGTTTCAGTGAGGAGCCATGATCAGTGGAGCTAATTCGTGTTGCGTGTGAGAAAGTTACTCACTGAAGATGGATTAAGGTTAGACTTTGACATCGTTGAGTACCAACTCAGTGGTCCAGAGGATAAGGTTTCACACACAAAGCCGAAGGTCCAGGGTCCGACTTACGGTTGTTGGCTAGTGGATGCAAACTGATAGGGAGTCTCATACGAGGAAGGAACAGCTCTTGCAAATTTTCAATAGTGGTCGGTTTATGATTTTAATAAACTTAAAAATTTCTGTTAATAATGTTTTGATTTAAGAAAAAAGAAGCGTAAAATGGATGTAATGAAGGCATATACGAATAACAAGCTTTGTAATATGTGATTTTTCTAGACTATTTCTACAAACCAACAGAAGGAAGAAAATTTGTTTTTTTCTCCAATAACTAGTTTATCGACAGTAAAATACCTCAATCACAATTATAATCTGACATAACCATGGATTATGAAAATTCAGAGTGAAATGATAAAGAACTAGACATGGATACATGGAAAATCATGTGCTAGAAGAATATATATAAGGATTGTACTTATTAGTTGTCAGTAAAAATGTTTATCAAATAACAAACGAAAAGTAAACGTAATGTCCGAAAAAAGAATGTTTAGTTGAAATATAATTTAATGATCGGTCATAAAAATATTAAAGACAATGGTATAAATATTGCATCGATACAAGTTGCTACATAATGCACGTACTATGAACAAGAAAAAACTATGTAAAAACATTGAAATTCATCTCGACAACAACGTACATACTAGCGTGTTAGGTTTATTTAATCATCGTTAAGTTATATTACGTCAGTCTAAATCGAAGTAGACAGAATCGGTATTCAAATCTACAGTTCAATGATCAATAACTGTTTTAACCTATAAACCATTCATTTAGTACATGGTTCCACCTCTCTAATATTTTTATACTATGTAGCAGCTTCAAGTGGCATACGTGGGATCGAAGTCAAGACTTTAAGTAAGTACAATATATTATTCAGTTATTAATAATGATCATAACTCTGTCTGAATCCCTACTAGGGTTATTGCTGGTCCCAAACCCAGATAAAGAAGGATATTTGAGTACAATAAATTCATTTAGTATTGTTTGTTTGAATCGTCCCATCGATGTGTTAGGACTGCAACTGGTCAGTCACTATGAGAACTCAGTGGCCGAATGGATAACGCGATGGCGTTTGAAGCAAAAAGTACTCAGTTCGAGTCCCAGAGTGAACATAAACTCTGAGATGCAGGCACATCCAGATAACGAGTCCCAAATAGGACGAAACGCGCGTCAAACTGGATTCCACTACTAGCCACTATCCATCTTTGCTTTGAGTAGAATATTCTTTGAAAGACATTAAACAGAAAAATAATGATCTGACTTGGCTATATAAATCTCAAAAGATGTAAAGTAGTATGGTTCTGTGAAATAAGTTTTCAATCTAACCAACTAGCGATATTTTAACAAAATAATACAAAAGGTAATTGCGTTAAACTGGTAGTAATGGTACTAATATCAAAAAAAAACGTTTAAGATGTTTAATAGTCAAACTAACAAAACATTTCAATAGTTATTGTAAATACATAAGATTTAAATATCTTACTTGAATCTTCGGTATGATCAAAATCTGGCTCTTTTGATAAAGTATATTCATTACGAAGTGATGTAACAGATTTTGAAGTGTATAAATCACTACTCTCTTCATTTATTGTCCATCGTTTTGAAACATTAATATCTTGTTTAACCGAGGTTTTGTTAAGAATATCATTATCACTTTCATCCTCATCAGGATGATTAATGTTATCCCCATTATGTTGTTCATTGTCGTCGTGATCATCATCATCATCGTCATCATCATCATCATATTCCAAGTCAACACCATACCAAGCTCCACTTGAACGTTGACGTAACAACCTATCACTACCTGAAGTATTGATAATATCAAGTGATTTATTTAATGATCTATCAGTTTGACCATCAGAACTATTATAATTACCATCATCATGTAATGATTCTTTATCAATAGTTGTGTTTAATCTTTGAGTTTTCTTTCGTTTTGTTGTTTTTAATTCTTTATTTTTACATAATGTTGATTTAATAGATTTACGTTTTAATAATTTAGAAACTTGATTCATTCGACTAGTAGTTGATAAAGGTTTTATATGTGTACTTTTTTGATTTGTTTGATTTTCTAACATATTTGAACGAGAATTTATAGGATCATTTTCAGATGGAATTGATTCAATATATGATTCATTTTCTAATTGACTACTAAATAAAATAAAAAAGCAACAATAAAATTAGCTGTAATATCAGTATAAATTAGAGCAAGAGTTTCTCTATTCATGGGGATTAAAAAGCTGCAAATTTTATCAAAGTCAGTCAGTCAGTCAGTCACAACGTAGAACTTCGTACGTAAGTACATCAGTTCGAGTTGCCATACCACATTAGCATAGAGATGAAGTTGTCGATTCAAATCCCATAATGGCAGAAGTAGTAAGAGTATAAGCAGTAATCGGAAAGATTAGGGTCTGAAGATGTTATTGAAGGAGTATAATACAATGAAATAAATTTGGAAAGAGAAAAAGGATACAGACATGAAGAATTTAGAAGATTAGAGTTTGGGGGAATACAAAGAGTGGATGCACTTTCGCCATTGCAAACGATTTTGAGTCATGTCATTCAAGGTCCCTAACCATCGATTTCTATCATCTCGCGGATCCCAACCAGGTAGTCTATATCTACGAGCATGGCTGAGTCCAATAGTCAGTGACTTCATGGATTTGTGCCACGCTTTGGTCTGGCCGCCCATAGCTTTCTTCCAACCTACTCCTACACCATAAAACATTGCACGTCGGGGCAGTCAGTGGTTGGGCATACGTAACACGTGTCCCAGCCATCTTAACTGATGAAGTTTCACTACTTCATCAATCGATTTGCCATCCTCATCTAGCACCCGTTTCCTAACGACTGCATTACTTACTCGGTGGTCTCAGGATGTACGAGCAATGCTTCGAAGACACCTATGACCGAATACTAGTAGCCTACGAATATCCCCCACAAGAAAGCCGTGTGTGACCGGCCTCAAGCAGTTGTCCCTTGTGCACTGCGATCACGCTCCCAGGTCGTTAAGACCAACACTAATCCAACTTCCTTTTCAGGTCCGTCAAGAAATACCCTTCCATGGTGTGGGCAGCCGGGAAGTGATATTAGCCCTTATAACCGTAACTGCACAAGAGACCAAGTTGGTCAATTTCAAATCCTTCCTACACCTAATAAGTCTCTTATCTCCACGACTAACTTTTCTCACTTTCAAATCAAATTTTATCAAAACTCTAATACCAATCCAGTTTTCAAAGTCAGATTCTCAAAAACAAACTACACAAATTATTTACAATTTACAATGATTCCTAATTATGAACGACTGGAATTTCTCGTAACATAAACAGTGGTTAAAGTGAACTCAACAGTATGGGCTACTGGCACACGCATACACAACACTCCAGCAATTATCTTCAATACGAACCGAAAAAATAAACTCTACCAATTCACAATGATTTAGTCATTTTACTAACTACTTCCAATTAAAATAAGGTTCGAATAAAGGTACATCATGCTGCTAATAAGAACAGTAGTATAATAGTAAAACAGTAGTTCCGAATTCTTTCAGCTCCAGCGAACATTCTTCATCACTCCAAGTCAATTCATATTAGTAAGATAATGAAACAAAAAAAATCACATAGAATACTTCACTTTTTATACAAAGAAAACCGACTAACTTTCGTATATTCGCCTCAATTGTATCTAATGTTTCTTTATCTTGTTCTAATCGTGTACGAGCAGCTTGTAACATTTTTTGTGCAATTTCAGTTAATGGACTTTCATTTCCATTGAATGTAATACAATTGGATAGAATTAATTCAATTTGTACAAAGAATTCATCACGTGATCGAAATCGATTCTCTTTTACTAATTTTTCAAGGGTAGATAGATCCATTGGATTACTGATAATTTTATAATAATCCTATAAATGTTGTTTGAAATGAATCAAAAATTTGGATAATGAATGAAGAAATCGAACAATAAGGAAAACATCAAAAGAAGAACACATAACTTATTTAAGTAGTAACGACATTTTATAGGTATAATCAAGTGGGGATTAAGATTATTTATGCTGTGTCTTGTGCTTGGCATGGTTCAGCATACGGTCCTAAATTGGCTGACTACAAGCAATTAAGATAATTCTAGTATGAATCGAATCTATTACGAACTAGAAAAAAGTGGCAGTCGGCATTTAAAAACGCTTTGACAATAATTTACAAAGATGAAGTTCAGAACGAAGAAAGAATTGGGGAAAAAATGATATTAACAAAGAGAAAATCAAAATGAACTAGTCAAACGCGATATTAGGGAACATAGAACAATTAGAAAACTAAGTGGAAACGGGGAATTAGAAAATAGGAAACGTGATACGGAAATACAAAATAATAAAAAATAGTACACGTAGTTATCGTTATAATAGAGAATTAATATTTATATTACTAAAATTGATAACCTGAGATCTTCTTAGTAATAATTCAAGAAAAATATTAACATCAAATATGAGTAATTGAAGTCAATCGCTCAAAATTAGTTATCAGAGAGATAATATAGTTATATTTTTACTCATATCGTGAACCAGTCTAAGTAAAACAATTACTGAAAAGCTGGAAGCACTGGACTGTCGTTCTGTCCTAGTATTTATTATTATTATTATTTATTTAAACACATAAATATTGGTACAAGGAAGCACCAGATAAATATGCGCCTCACAAATCTCATTCGATTTGTGTGAGGGCTGAGATACTGCCCAGGTGCCCAGACTGAAGCAGGTGGTTTTCTTAGGGGGCCACACCCCGAGCCTTTGACCTTAATGTCTGATCCACAAGGCAGTGGAGCATCGTGAGGAGATGCAGTCCCATGGTAGCCGGTGATCAACGGTTGATTCGTACGCCATTTGTTCCCTCAGGATACTGGAGCCCATGTGCATCACTGGTTTGGAATCAGGGTTTTCTAACTCCCCTAGGTGAACTTTCCATGTCCACCAACCCGGTTAAAGCGCCAGACATTCGCTTTTCGTCCTCTCACTTTCGTAAACAACACCCCCGCCACAAGAAGGCAGTGAGTAGGACTTCCCTGGCAGAGGCTATATATTCGCTGGCCATATGAGAGCATTTCGAGAGGGAGAGGTGACTCTCCCCACTCTCGGACGTACCAGGGCATTTGGGGGCTCTGTCCTAGTATAGAACTCCTTAGTAGAGACCCCACAGGGGGCTGAACACAGGAGTTTTAGGTCATGCGGCAATCACTTAACTTTTAGAACACTAACTCGGTATCCAGTGGTTTAAATTTCTAAGTTTAATCAACTTACAACATTATGTAACTCTCTTCTATTACCACGGTGAGGTAACTAACACATATCCGACACATCTGGTTGAAACTTCTCAGTAGGACTCTGGGAATTATCTCTCTAGATCAGTAATTAGTGCGTAATAACGTTCGCAAATCCCATATATTAACAAAGGTCACATCAATATTTGTAAGCAGTTGTTGAACAAAACTCAACTAATTAATTGTATAAAGCTATCGACACGAATTGTATAATCAGTAGTTTTAAGACGGTTTATCTGAGGAACAATAATGAATTATTACTTCTAAAAATTTCTATGTGTTAAATGTCATACTATCAGTGTATCATCTAGGGATTTTAAAAAGAGCCATCCTGAAACTTAGAGATGTCTTCAAAAACGTGCTCCTTAAGGATGCCAGAACGTCACAAGTTATTCCATGTGGCGTTAACATTTCAAACATAGTATTAGCTGTGAGATTTGTGTTTTAAACTGTACCACTAATGAGTAACTAGTTTCTAATTGTATAATCTTCCATGTGATTGCTAAACAATAGTTCTCTTATTGATTAACACACTTTATTTGTCCAACCATGCTGAACTGATCACTTATGTGCTTGCCTGCGCTGAGAGTTGACCGATGGTTTTGTGGCTTGTTTTGTTTACTTTGACTCTAAATTTACTCTGACCTTAGCAAACGACCATTCATTGTATAACCATTTGTTATTTATGAATATATTTATACGTAAATATTCCTAGAAGCCAATGTAGTCTATTGGATTTAATCAATTTATGGTACATTCTTCTAGTGAATTTAACAGTATATGAATTCAAAGTTTAGCATAAAAATTTACCGGATATCTTCGTTTGTCAACTGGTATATGAAATGGTCTACTATGCTCAACTCCACGCATAGCCTCAATAGCTTGTTGCAATAAATAGCTTAATCCGACTAGATCATCTTCATCCAACAAAGGATTAACCAATGATTCTAATCTCATTAATTTTAATTCTTTATGACAAAATTGTTCCATAACATGTGAACACATTTTCATGGCTGTTTCAGTGTATGCACTATAGCGACCTAGAAAAAAAGAAAAGAGAAATGAATACTATAGGAAGAAAACAAACAAAGAGAAATCTACAGATTAATGCTAGTAAATTATTGCTTTGGAAAAATTCCGGCTATATTACTGTATAAATATATGGACGGAGAATACTCTTTACTGCAGCTGTTATTTCAAATTGATGATCATAGGGAATGACCAAGTATGCGGTAAATACAACTTTAAAAATAAAGGATATGAATTCGGTATTTGATATATAGCTAGAAGAGGAAACCAAGGGGAATATTTTGTCCCATTTGTAACTCGTAAGATGGTTGAAATGGTATCTCAGTATCAATTTTCACAATGAGTCCGGATAGCCATTAACTTGTTTAATAGAAAATTACAAACTCCTACTAATGAATTTGTGATTGTTTGTAGGAAGTAAGTTTGTTAGTTAGCGTTTCAATTGTATAAATTACTAGTAGTATGTACTTTATACTTGAATCAGTTTATAGACCGACTGAAATTGCGAAATCTCAATAAATAAATACATAACGTAAAGTGAGGGAGACAGTAATATAATCAACAAACAAATCTAATGTTTGACCAAAGATTACGAACAGTATAAAATGATATGAGATAAATCAGAGATAGCTAAGTAGTATCATGAATTCACTGAGTCTGGAGATATCAACCACTGGGTGTTAGCTCAATTGTCTGAAGGTGAACGTTTTCTGAGAGGATTGGGTTCCGTCTTAAATAAGGCCGTGGGTGTGCATTCGAGAGGAGTCTCTTGCTACAACGATACAACTAGCTAGTATTCTCTAGTTTTAAAGGGCTGTCTAACTAAAGTCACTCTGAGATCAAAGCTAGAAGTAGTAAAATCAATTAAGTCAAATAAATTCCCGAAAACATATGGTTTTTCTTTGCGGGAGAGGGTATATGTAATTGTCGAACTGAGTTATTTTATAATCGAAATAATTACTAACACGCTTTGCCTGTAACTGGTCAAGATACGGAAGACATGTCTAACATACTTTCTCTTGTACACATCGCTTAGGATTGAAAAGGTCCTTACGACTTATGTTTCTGACGTTTGGACGACTCAGGTACATGGCTTCTAGCAGATTACTACTAAGATGATAGACTATTGATAATGATTGGATATTGCTGGCATTATGTTTCATTTGAACCACATAAACTAAGGTCAAGATGTTTACGCTCTTAACTGCAAGTAAATCAGTGAAATTTGATGATGTTTTTTCTAAAAATAAGGGACAAAAATCAAACAGCAAATATATACATATGCACATAACAACATAAAAGCTGATGAAATTTCCCTAGAATCAGCAGAATAGATATCAGATAATAAATAATATGGATTTAAACCTCACCGGACCTAGTTCGATTTGGGAAATTCTGAAGTTTAGCTAGATCTTACAAAATTAGACTTATTTGCTTACTTAATTGTCTTCCACCTATCTTATAGCATAGGCCAAGAACTAGAGATCCTTAAGCAACCTGGTCCCGCGCTTCCTTTTACAGTAACATAACAACTAAAACAAATATATATATAAGCATACCATTGAATTTCGAGGAATTATTATAAATGAGTCGAATATCTGACAAAAATTCTTCACGTGTGGCATAAGTGTTTTCATTAATTTTCATACGTATTTGTGATAAATCCATTGGAGTTTCAATTTGAGAATAATAATTCGGGAAATCTTTCTCCTTAACAGGATGCATAAATATTTTATAACCAGGAATTTGAGTAAGACCCTGCATTATAAGAAAAGAAGTGAAAAAAGAAAAGAAAATTAAGGTATATTTAAAAGTTGGGAATTACTTAAACTGAGCAAAATGAGACATCAGATACATATCGGTGAAACTTTTTAATGTCTAGCATAGGAAAAGGTTGGAAGAAAGCTATTAATGAACGAAAGGAAACGTAGCATTAATCCGTAATGACATTGACTACTGATTTAAGTAATGTCAAAAAGTGAGGACTACATATTTAGAATCCGTGCAAAGATAGTGTTCAGTGATTGAGGATGCTAGGCGATGGTTTAAAATCAGTTAAAATGGTGCAAATTTGGTCATTTTTTATCTATCAGAAGGAGGTTTTGTGGAAATTTCAGCATTTTCATAGTTGAAATCATGAGTCAATTGGAGCTAGACCACCATGAAAGACCTGGAAGCACTGGACGGCCGATTCGTCCTATTATGAGACTCCTCAGCAGTGCGCATCCACGATCCCGTACTCGTGAGATTCGAACCCAGGACCTACTAGTCTTTTTTTTCTTATCTTCCAAATTTCAAGTTTTGGTATTAATACATTCATTACCTTTTTTCAAAAAATATGTCAAAATGATAAAACGAACTAAGTGTATGAAAAATCTTTTATAATTAGTCCAATATTTTTGGTAGTACTGTTGTGAATGAGAACACAGGTGAGGACAACCAACTATGTATTTAGCACAAATTACAACGTTACTTGGTAAAATACAAAAACCATGCTATGATACACTATTTGCAAAATGTTCTTCAATTGCCTCAGACTTCATTGTTCCTGGATTTCCACACAAATTGCTTTTTATTTCTGTTCTTCTCTTCTTGATCTTCTCAATCTTCTGCTGTCAGATATTCTATTCCTTACTCACCATATATACTACTTATGTCGATATCAGTAGCTCACACCACAGTACTATTGATTTCAAACATTTGCTATTCATACTTTCGATTTCAACTCATTATATCGATCTAGTCAGGCAACTTGAGATGGACATTTGTGGCTAGTTCTATGTTGAGCACGACTAACTGAAACATTAAAAAGTCGCTGACTGAAAATAAACATCACAATGAAAATTGAATAGAAATCGCACTCCCTCTAAATATATTTTAGTACTTCTACACAGTGAATTTAATGGACGGAAATTGAATTAGTGAATAGATGAAGGAGCTGAGAAACTCTCATTTTAAACCAACGATACACATGAAATCCAGAATTTTGATGGAAATGAACTCATGATATTTTTTTTACTAATTTGTGTGTTAAACACCAAATTCAAAAGTTCATAGATGAATTCCTTGAAATAATGGAGAACAAATTTAAAGAAAGATTAATTTATCTGCAGTAGATATAAAAACGACTACAGTGAAACGTGGCTGAAAAAAACTTTTCAAATACACAGAGATGATGAATTAAGTTTAGAGAAAATATAAATCTCCAGATATTGACATTTATACGAATGATCGAGCGTTTGCGGATATGAGTAATGAGTGAAGAAGTCATAGCACTAGTTCTACAGTTAGAAACTAAAGTTTTAATTCAAATCAGTAAAAGCTAAAAAGAAGAAAATTGCGACATATACCTTTTTCAGTGACAAAATATATAGAGGTTTATGTAATGCATACAACATTTAGCCTGTGTTGTTGATAAAACGGAGTGAGAAGTGGACTGATAACCAGATAAATATCAAATGCCTAATGAAATTAGCAAAACAAAAGCTTAATAAATTACCTTGTATATTCCTTCGAAAATATGATTTAACGCAACACGAGGATCAATACGGCGTCTATTGCCACGGTGTTTAACGCTTGTTGGAAAATCATCATCATTCATACTTAAACTAGTTCGACGATTTCTTCCACCACCACCGCGACCTGTAGTACTCATTAGTCCACGTCTATTTGAATTTACAGACTGAACAACAGCAGCTGCCGCATCTAAACGATCGAGTAATTGGCGGCGTATTTTTAATTTTAGATTACGACGATTTTGTTCTTTAATGTATTTAGTCAAACCGGAGTGAAGTTTTAATTTTGTTCCTTCAACCTATAAATGAAAAAAGAGCGTATGGGTATGGATAGAGAACTATGTTTAAATGTAATGGACTAATAATATATTCAATTAAAGATTAAAAAAGAAATTAGAACAGGAAGTTAGTGGAAATTGTACTCCATTAGGTTTACATCGTAGACTGATCTTAGTTTAGCAATCATTGAAAACCAGGAAACGATGAACAACTATTTCGATCTAGTATGAGACCTATAGCACTGTATAGTTTTACATAACTCCATAGCAGGTTGATCTCAACGCCTTCAGGTTTTGTGACTAGCGCTTAGAATTTAGACCAATTAGGCAGGATTTATTAGTTAACATGTTTAACTTCAAACGATTTGTGATATTAAGCAGAGATGGATAGTGGCTAGTAGTGGAATCCAGGACGCGCGTTTCGTCCCATTTGGGACTCGTCAGCTGGATGTACCTGCATCTCAGAGTTGATGTTCACTCTGGGACTCGAACCCAGTACCCTTGCTTCAAACGCCATCGCGTTATCCACTCGGCCACTGAGTCCTGATAGCCACTTGCTTGTGCGATGGGGTGAAGTTTGAATTCACTTAGTATTGTTTGTTTGGATCTTCCCATCGATGTGTTTAGGACTGAAACTGGTCAGTCTCTAATTGGCATATGTGCATACTGTGCGTATTGCCTCGAGTCCCAGAGTGAACATCAACTCTGAGATGCAGGTACATCCAGCTGACGAGTCCCAAATAGGACGAAACGCGCGTCCTGGATTCCACTGCTAGCCACTATCCATCTCTGCTTACCATGCTTGTGAATTAAGGTATATCGAGGCAATACACACAGTATGCACATATGCCAATTAGAGACTGACCAGTTGCAGTCCTAAACACATCGATGGGAAGATCCAAACAAACAATACTAAGTGATTTGTGATATTGTCCAAAAGATTTTCAACCTCATTAGTGAGTGATTTACCTCATACTCAACATAATTGTTGAACTCAATTGATCACGGTTCCTCACGAGAACTTTAGGGATTATTTCTCAAAATAAGTTATTAGTGAGTATATGATTTTCAATGGTTGTTTAATTAAGATTATTCCATAATACAAACTATAAAGAGAAAAATTATTATTTCGAATAAGCAAGAACTTATTTAACAAGTTCTTCCTTAGCTGTTTTCCTTTATTTATATATTTAAAACAACAACAAAAAACTGTTAAAATTATACCAGTCAACACAAACAATTGGTCATATCATAAAAACAAAGAAGCATTTATACTTTCAACAAATAATTTCACCAATCGGCTGGTGTTGTGACGAGCGGTGTCCAAATTCTGATGCTGATACACGGTATGCTCTACGCGTTAACCCCACAACTGACTACTCGAGAGAGAACACAAGAGTGAGTGAGAAAGTATATTCGTCTACCGAATGAAATGCACAAATGCTCATTCATATATATACACCACAAGTTATAACACTAATCAGTAATTATTAAAATTACATGTTTAGACAAATAAAAAAGTGACTGAGCTATTCAGGTAGATAATGACCCCATGTAGGGTTGAAATATTTGCACTGATTAGTCGCTAATTTGTAAGCAGCCAACCTTCTGTCAACCGTGGTTTTAAATCTTTTACTTTACCACAGAATCAGTGGTAACGTCTCAAACTGTGAATCAGGATGACGTAAGTTCGAATCCTACAGAAATTACTAGTCACCTCGAAATTGCATGTACACTTTGTTGACGAGTGTCAACTTGCATGTCTAGGGTTTCCTACTGACTACTTTCAACCAACTAGCAGAATTTCAACTACTCTGACTGATAAGTTTCGTTAATTAAGATCCAAATGATATCGAGATCAGACTAAACAAGATTGATATACACAAGTCAATGGAGTTCGATAAGGTTAAATGTAAGTAGATGCATTGTAAAATACATTCTCTAACGGTAAAATACATTGATTAATTATTACGTCTTTTCTATAATTACTTTATTCAGAGAAAGTAGTATTTTTTAGTAGATCATTATTAAACTATATCGTGGACGAGCAAACAAATGTAAGAACGAGAAAAAAAACACTCACCGTCATATCATTCTCTCCTAAAACTCCATGCATAGATGATTCATCAAAATCATCTGAATCTTTAATTAAATGTTTAACATCAGAATTGTCTAAATCATTAGTATAGTTTGCTTTCTCTTCGTTTTCTTGTTCTGCTAATAATTCACAAACTGGACGAGAAGCTAATGCTTGAGCTGCAGCAATAGTATCTGGTTCAATTTTTCGACCATTACCATAATTTTCTAAGAAACCAATTTCTCTATCATCTGATCTAGATTCCATAGAATTTAAATCACCAGAACGAGACATATTACGAATAGTTGTTTGTGTACGAAGTTGAGCACGTTCTGCAGCTGTTCTTCGAATTCCTCCTACGTTATGAAGAGATGAAGATGTACTAGAACGTCCATACATTGGACATTCTTTATTGGTACGCATATGACCTATATCATTGAAAACAATTAATGAAATAGATAATCATAAAATAATGTAAGATAAAGTTCTTATTTATAGCTCTACATCAACTTCATCGACTACGAGAAGGCATTTGATAGCGTGGACAGGACAACACTATGGAGGCTTCTTCGACACAACGGCGTGCCTGCCTGAGAAGATAGTCAATAACAATACGGAACTCCTATGATGGACTAAACTGCCAAATCGTCCACGGAGCACAACTCACCGACCCATTCGAGGTAAAGACCGGTGTTAGGCAAGGTTGCTTACTCTCACCCGCTCTCTTTCTTCGGGTGATCGGTTGGATTATGAAGATGTCAACATCTGGAGGAAAGCACAGGATACAGTGGACAGGCAGGATGCAACTTGACGATTTAGACTTCGCCGATGATCTGCCTCTTCTATCACAAACGTAACAACAAATTCAGGAGAAGACGACCAGTGTAGCAGCAGCCCCAGCAGCAGTAGGTCTCAATATAAACAAAGGGAAAAGCAAGACTCTTCGATACAATACAACATGCACCAATCAAATTACACTTGACGGAGAAGCTTTGGAGGATGTACAAACCTTTGCATATCTGGGCAGCATCATTGATGAACACGGTGGATCAGATGCAGATGTGAGGGCGAGAATCGGCAAAGCAAGAGCAGCATATTTACAACTGAAAAACATCTGGAGCTCAAAACAATTGTCAACCAACACCAAGGTTAGAATTTTCAATATAAATGTCAAGACAGTTCTACTGTATGGGGCGGAGACGTGGAGAACTACGAAAGCCATTAACCAGAAGATACAAGTGTTTATTAACAGCTGTCTACGCAAGATACTTCGGATCCGATGGCCAGACACTATCAGCAACAAGTTACTGTGGGAGACAACAAACCAGATTTCAGTAGGGGAAGAAATCAGGAAGAAGCGCTGGAAGTGGATAGGACACACATTGAGGAAGTCACCCAACTGAGTCACAAGACAAGTCCTCACATGGAATCCTGAAGGTCAAAGGAGAAGAGGAAGACCAAAGAACACATTACGCCGAGAAATAGAGACAGACATGAGAAGAATGAACAAAAAATGGATATAACTAGGAAAGAAGGCCCAGGACAGAGTGGGTTGGAGAAAACTGGTCGGCGGCCTATGCTCTATTGGGAGTAACAGGCGTAAGTAAGTAACTGAGAATTGATTAAAACTAGAAGGAAACTGTCGTTGAATCACAATATAGATAAACCCTTAAATGTTGAAATATTTTACAAGAATTTGAATTGATCATCAGATGATAGAATCAATGTAACCAATATCTTGAGTGGTACAAATTTGAAGTATACGATCTTTCTAGCTAGTTAAAAGTAGTTTGAATAAGTAATCTATAAATATACCTATATCTATTTCATAATTGTTGTATATACAGTCTCTAAATTGTTCCAAATAAACAATTCATTATGATTAGCAGTTCAAAACAAAGCAGAACAACATATATTATTTCAATGTAAATTATAATGAATTTTTTTTAAAAGTAGCAAACTGGATGAACACGAAACCTAATGAGTACCTTTGACATTGAACACCTAGTTGAAATATATATCTATATCTGCTAAACTAAATAAAATATTGGGTACTATACAAAAGAATTTCACCATAGTTTGATTATTTTGTATAGATTATTGATAAATAAAGACAAGTACTCTACAAATACTTGTCTATATTGGGCATATAGTATCATTTATTGAAAGTTTCCATACATGAGTAATTAACAGTTCTCACCGATCTGCTTAACAATTGAAAATTGTTATTATGACCTTTAGAATGTGAATTAATGAAATAGCTATAGTAGACTACTATTAAACGATAATCATAAACATAAGTTGTTGAAGCTATAGTTCTTTTTACTGATGGTCTAATAATTCAATAGAACACCGTTAATATTCTCAGTTTTAAATTCACATAACGTAAGTTTACTAAGATTTGTGGCAAGGAAGTTAGTATAGATCACGTTGCTGTCGCAACGCTACATGTTTAACTGAACTTTGATCAGTTTTAATTGGATGTGTGCATCCTGTATGGATTAGCTCGATATAGCAATTGTCAGAAATTTATATGGAATAATTGGGATGTATCCAGCAGTGGAAACCAGGACACGCACCTCGTGCTATTTGGGACTTGTTAACTGGGTGTACCTATATACTAGAGTTGATGTTCACTCCGTGATTCGAACCTGTGTCTTTACACTCCAACACGTTATTCATTTAGCTACTGAATTCAGATAATCAGTCACTGTGTTTGAGTCCCGTGGAGTGAACATCAACTCTGAGATGCAGGTACGAATGGTTGACGAGTCCTTTGTAGGACGAAACACATTCCCTGGATTCCACTGATAGGCATATTCCGTCTGTTTTCTATAATTGAATAATTATACATTGAATGCCGCACTTCAATAGTCTATTTATTTATTTATGTGCCACTGAGTTTACCAGAGCAGTTTAGATTAAATAAACCTTTAGAAAAATTTGAGATAAATCATTTCATTCTTACAGAAAGATACTATGATATAACTTGTTATTTTACGCATTCACGTATATATGTTTGACTCTGGTAACTGAAACAAATCTTCTTAACCTCCTGCTGACATATAATCCACTTCCGATTGGTGCTACATACTACTTATATCTGTGAACATAAGTAGCATATACCACAAAAGGAGTTTCCAGTTAGGAGATATAACATTCACTTCTAATTCATTTCTATCAGTTAATTTGAGCATATAATTTAAACATATATGATCAAAATGAGTTAGCCATTTGTTTTGATGATGTTAAATAACATAACCTGATTAGTGTCTATTAGATCGTAATAATTTGCAATTTACATTTAGAAACACAAGCGAGAATCCATAAACAATTATTACGCGAGAATGAGTGTTCTCAATTAAAATGTGGCTAATTAAAAAATAGATAGACTAAAGGATATCTATTTAAATTGTACAATGAAAGATACGAAATAACAAATGGTGTGCATATTACAAAACTTTTTATTACCTGTTTGACCACAAGCACCGCAACGCATTTTAATTAATGCTTCCGTAAGTGTTTTATGACGTCTATGACGGTTTACCTTGTTTGATAATCCTAAGGATTTCATACCTGGCATAGAACTACCAGTGACGCTGCCACGTTCTCGCATTACTTGTTGTTGTTTACGAAGGCGACGTAGCTGATCCTTGAAATAAAAAGGAAGTGAACAGTGAGAGGGAAGAGTAAGTATACATTGGAATAAATATTAATAGCAGAGATTAAGAGTGGTACATCATCCAAAGTACATAACAACCCACTAATCATGCGCATTCACCAAAGTAGTCTACAACTATTAACATTGCTCAGTACAAAAATTAACGATTACATGGACTGATGTTATTGTCTTGGTTTCGCGTCAAGTTTTAGGGGGTGGTTAGGCTAAATTTACTCAACGTTTTTTTTACATGGTTTTTTATTTATTTACCTTAAAATTTCGCAGCTTTTATTTATATTGCTCATTAAAGTTTTACTTAGTTTGCACTGCTTTTTTAATCTTGAAATACAGTACTTAGTTAATCCTCATTAAACTCTGATATTCGCACTTGACATAGCCGTGCTTTTTGTATTTTGTGGTATGCGTTGCAACCTAATTCCCATTCACTTATTGGATAGATAGAATATGCTTTCTACTGTTCTTTCCAACGTATCTGACGTTTGGGCACCATACAATTTGATGTTGCAACATTCATAATATTTGTGTCAGAATATGTGTTTATCAGCAGTTGTCTACGCAATATACTCCAGATCCGTTGGTAAAACACTATCAGCAGCAACCTAATGTGGCAGAGAACAAACTAGCTTCCAGATGAAGAGGGAATTGGAAAGAAAAGGTTGAGTTGGATAGGACATACTTTACGAAGATCATCAAACTGCACCATCCTCAAGGCAAAAGGAAAAGAGGCAGACCAAAGAACACGTTGCGCCGGGAATTGAAGGGAAACATCAAAAGGATGAATAGCACTTGGTAACAGTTGGAAAGGAAAACCCAGGACAAAGTTAGTTGGAGAATCATGGTCGGTGGGATAATAGGGATAATTAAATAAGTAATCACATTTTCATATAAACCTCACTTTTTAGTTTCATCAATTTACGTATAATTTGATCATTTGTTTATGATCTTATGGTTTGTATGAAAAAATATTTAAATCGGTTCCTAGGTTTAAGCTGGTGGGAAGAGAAAGATTGGTATATTAACATTTCATTTTGATAGTTATTGCTTCAAAAAAGTAAGTAGCTATGTACTTTCGCTTTAGCTATCTCATAGAGGTACGAAAATGAACGTTGCGACATACTTAGGACGAGTAGCTATAGTTGTCAATGTTGGATAGAATAGCATGTAAAGAGGTCGATAAATTTTATACTTGAAGCAAGGTCCTATTAATATTATTTACAAATACGATCTAAAGGTATTTGGTTTCTTAAAAGCTTTTAGTGGATAATTGAATAAAACACATAAAATTAATTAACAAGGTATCATAACGGTATTAAATCCAGATTAAAGGAGAGTATCGAACGACCAACACAAGTTTTGTTAAAAAACAACGACGTTTGTAGAATTTAATGTTGTCGGAGTGGAAACTAACAACCACTGTTTAATATGAACTGTCTTAAATATTAAAACTTAGTTGCGAAAAAGTCTTAACATTTTTATCACATATCAATGGAATTTTTGCATAGTAATGAATGACAGTGTTAATTTTAACAGATTCAGTTGAGTCCTCTGGTACACGGTTGTTTACATCATTACAAATTGAATATATTCAACCTTAGAAGGAGGAAAGAAGGGAATTCCTTATTAAGATCTTCATAAGCCAATAAAAGGTTAGGAACATTTCTCTCAGTCAAAAAGCTCAACGTAAACATCTGAAAAATTGACAGGCTTTGTGTGAAATCCTGAGAGGATGATTGCTTACTCTGCTACCTAATTTAGCATGTTTGTAGAAGTTACCAGGGTTTAACAAATATTAACCTATAAATAATTTTATTTTCTGTACATAAACAAATCTTGAAGTTGAGCTATTGCTTGTATTCCGCGTCTTTTTTCTACTGTTCGATTTCAAGACTAAGTATTTGGAGAATCTAGGGAGAGGTTAGGAGGCTAGTATCAAGCGTTTGATTAGCAGATATAGCATGTATAACAGCAAAAAAATATCATCCTCATGGGAGACAAAACAGAATACTACGTTAGTAAAGCTGAGTAGTAGCTGACAATATAACAGAAAATGTGCGTTTCGCTCAATTTTCGGACTAGTGAGATGGATTTACCTGCCACATTCTAATGTTTGTGTTCATAATCGAACTCAAACACACGAACTTTCATTTTAAATACAACTATTCAAATTTACTAAGATTGGTGGCTATAAGGAAATAGCGAGATATATATGGGCATATGCCACAGGAGACTGTTAAATTACAGTTCTTTACGTCAACAAACGGTAAGATAAAAACAGCCATAAATGGAATAACAATATTAATTTACAATAATTTATTACTTGTAATCTTCTCTTTTCTTTTCTTTGTTGTTCACGGAAATGATTATCTGAATCGACAAAGTTATGAATGAAATCATCATCACGAGTTTGACGTATTTTCAAGTAAATTTCTACAACAGGTGACCATGGAACAAGTTCTGTTCGAGTATATTGATGTCCATCTTCTGAATAAGTACGCATAATACGTAACATTTTTTTATTAGCATTAGGCCATGGAGGTGTCAAGTCTAAAATTGTACCAGCTGCAGTAGAACTGGCATCATACACCATACTGGTACTATTACTACCGACAACGGAACCAGTTTCATTGGATTCTCCTCCGTTATCTAATAAACTATTCTCTTTTAACAGAAGTTGATTTGTTTTACGCGGTCGTTTCAATCCAGATGATTGATCCTATTAAAAATAGGGATGAAATGATTTATAATATTTAGTTAAGTTAATTTTAATATTTTATTGCATAAATACTAGGATATTTATTATTTTTTTATACTTCAAATCATAAACTGATCTTAGCTAAATTACCACCAAAAACCTGGAAGCACTTGGCGGCCATTTCGTCCAAGCATAGGACTCCTCAGCAGTGCGTACCAATGACACCTAAACTGGAGACCGAACACAGAACCTTCAAACTCGTGTGTGAATGCTGGCACCTAACGGTTTTGACGTTTAACTCCAATCAATTCATGATATTTCCGGCTCGAAGATATAGAGGTTGAGCGTCCGTATGCGAAACAGAAGGTCGTGGATTCAACTCCCAGTCACTAGCACATGGATGAGTGCTGTTATGCAGTCCTATGCTTGGACAAAATGGCTGTTTAATGTTTCCAGATTTTCGATGGTGATCTAGATAAGATCAATTCATAATTTAAACTATGAAAATTCTACAATCTTCACAATTCCCCTCATACTAATATCTCATTTTCAAAAATATAAACTACTGATATCTAAAGTAAGGTGATTGAATAAAAACTACGTTTTTAGAAATGTATCCAGAAGATGAAAATCAATCGACATCTTCGAAATATATGTTTTTAAGTGACAGTTAGAGTAAAAATTTACTGATCAAAGGATCTAATTTGCTAAATGGTACAATCGGGTCATGAACGCACTGACTACCATGAAACTGTAGTGAACAAAAATACGACTGGGGACAATCGAATGTATTTAAGCACAAAATACAAACTATCTTACTAAGATATGATAACCATACAGCAAACAGTTAATTTGCAAAATAACAATCAATTGTCTTAATCTTCACTATTCCTTCTGTAAATATCAGTCCATCTTCTCTAATTTTATTGTTTATGCATTTTCCTACCAATTGCGCTGCATTTCAGTTCTCTCCTTATCGGTCTTCTGCCAAAATACATTCTATGTCTGACCATAACCATATACTACTTATGAGGATATAAGTAGACCACACCACAAAACTAAATAAACAGATCCTAATCAAATTAATTTAACCTACTCTCTTAAATAAATAAATTAAAAAAGAGAAGAATTTAAAACAAGGAATTTACTTAGCCGCTATGTGTCAAATAAGAAACGTAGTTTGGTTTAGTAGTCAGACATTAATTTATTAGTTTATTTAATGAAATGAAAGTTGTTTCAAAGAGTAAAACTAATAAGCAATATAACTAAGGAGATGTGTTGAGTTGTTCTAGCATATGTAGTTTAAAATCTACTAATAACTATTGATAATTGTTCAGTTTAAAATAAATGAAAGACAAAATTCTCCAGAAAAATGTAGTTGAACTTACTCCAAATTCTAAAGCTCTTTTAAGATTGACACGATCTTTTTCATCAGTTTTACCATCGGAATATTTAGAATTCATTTGACTTGATACAGATTCAATACTACGACCCATATGTGCATAAGAACGAGCAGTTGATGATAAACTCGAAAGGCGTACACCTCCAATTGAATTACTTGTTGCACTAGAACCATGTGAACCTAGTAACGTGGATCTCTGACCAACACTATCAGTCCCAGTGACTTCATCTTCATCATCTTCACTGCTAACTTCTTCATCGGAACTTAAAAGTTCAGAATTCGACAGGACACGATTTTGTAAATCAAATATACGTTGACATTCTTCTTTATAACATCGAATTTGTTCACTGATTGATAGACGATTACCACGGGCAAATTTAGCGGACCCTTCTTCTTCACCTTGTTTAGCTCGTTCTGTTGATGTGAAACGGACCATGTCAATAATTTCCCAACTACAATACGACAGATAAAACAAAATGATGGAAAAGTAAGAGAATAAGAGCTACAAGAAAAACAGTATCTTTAATGAAATTTCAATCATTCAGCAACTATATAGGACCAGGCACATATATGCATCATTCCAAGTTGCCACACATCACTAGCACAATGAGATGAACACCAAACTCACAGTAGCAGTTACTTCAATGGTAGTAATATATAAAAAAAGATTGCATGTGAGGATATGATACAGGGAGAAAGAATTGGTTCATAGAAGAAAAGTTACAAAGTAATTTTAATCTCATGGTTTAAAGGAAGACAAAGAGTGTATACTGTTATATCTTAGTACAGGATAAATTACGGGTAACTTCGGAGACCTATTAATGGACTAACATTATATATATATTCTTATTGTATAACTATTCAGTAACCAGATTATGTATATCTATATTCCTCTTATTATAAGCTCCATTTTGACCTACAGATTATTATTATTATAGGATCTACTGTTCTTAAGTAATGTTCAGTTTATTGATTGCAGCCTACCACTTTCACAGCCACTTTTTGGCTTGATCTCGTATAAATGTTATTTCCTATTTTATGGTGTGATATGGTCTGTTTAGCTGGTATATAAACAAAGTATGTTTGAAAAAAAATGATTCGCATAGTGGAAGCAGTCATTGGCGTTCTGGACTCAAGTGGAAGGGCTAGGAGAACAAAGGACCGATAAGAACGCTAGGCTGCTAATACCGGTCAACGTCACTGGTTTAGCACACCACTAAGATTGAATAATTATTATTTCGATTGACGAATAAACTACGTGATAACTAGCCGGGCTTAAAGTCACAACATATACACCTAGGCTGTTGTGATCGATTCTGAGCCTTATCATCCAGTTTCCAACTATCGGTTACGATAGTTGCACGGACTTCGACCGAGTAGTCTGTATCCACCAACATGGCTCGGACTATAGGTTAGTGACTTCATGCCACATTTTGGTTTGACCGCCCCTAACTCCATTCCAACCATCCTCAATACTTGCAGCATTGCGCGTCGTGGTAATGCGTGCTCAGGCATATGAAACACGTGGCCCAACCATCTCAGTCGATGAAAATTCACAACCTTATGAACTGATTTACCATCATTTCCTAATACCCTGTGTCTAACCTCAATATTACTTACCCGATGATCCAAGCAGATGCGAGCAATATTTTCAAGACATCTGTGATCAAATACTAGTAACTTACGAGTATTCTCTACCCATAATGGCCACGTTTCGCAGCCGTAAATTAAAACAGAAAGAAGTGCTGCGCAATATACTCGTCCCTTAATTGATAGACGTATATCTCGTCTACGCCATAGGTGACGTAAGTTGGTAAAAAACAAAGGAGCTTTTTGAATTCGTGCAAAGTTCTCGTCAGACACCAACCATTAAGGTTGACCAGACTTCCGAGATAAGTGAGGTTGTCGACGCATTCGACTAATTCACTACTTACGATTAGTTCAGATGTTGACGCAGGCCAGTCGTGAAGCAACAATTAGAATTTAGAGGGGGAGAAACACATCCCAAGCATCATGGTATTGTTGTTCGGTACTACCAAGATTTTGTATTTCATCAGTGACTTCATCAAACAGGACTATGTCATCTGAGTATTCTAAGTCGATAAGTGAATATCCTGGTGGGAGATCAATTCGCGAAAATTCATTTGACGAGAAAGTTATTTCCAGCAGTAGGTGTATGATGAAATTGAACAAAAATGGAGATAGTGAATTGCCTTGCTGAACATGACTTGAGTTTGCAAAGTCAGATGACATTTCACCATAAGCTCTGACTTTACTGATAGTGTTCGAGTAAATAACCTTTACAAGGTTTATGTACTTCTGAGGTACACCTTACAATAACAAACACTGCCACAGAACCTCTCAGGTTGTTTATGTTTCTTACAATTATATATATATATATATATATATATATATATATATATATATATATATATATATATATAGTATTTGTAATCTATACATAAAATAATTAAGTTTTAATTTTTACCGTTTGAAAGTTTTTAAATCAGCTTCACTAATCCCAAATGATCTTAATAAAGCACGTGCATCGCGTAAATGTAGTTTACGAAGGTCAGCATCAGTTCCCGTTACAGTACGTTTCCCTTTTAATAGACCTCTTGCAACTTCTCCACCGGCCTGCCGAAATAATGCACCAGGTTTTGCAGAGGTTTTCGAATAAGAAAACGCCTCACCACAACCAGTAGGATCAGCGGCACCATGTAATTCAAGAAAACAACCACCACGTTGTGAAGCAAGATAAGCACGTGTTGTATTCCATGGTGCTGCTCTAACTTCATCCTCCATTTTAGGCTTCACCAAGAACAAATAATAATTAAATAATAATAATAATAATATTATTATTATTATTATTATTACCGGAATAAAAATGAAGAAAACATGCACTGGTAGATATTGGTAGGGTAAAAGTTTAAACGAAGGTTACCAGTCGACAAGACAATAAAAATAATTTAAACGTTATCAAAGGTCGCAAGGTTGAGAATCTATACCTAGATAAATAGTGTTTTTATCAAACATTTTTGACATATTTAGATTTTCTACTTTGATGCTATTTGAAAAAAATAGAACAGATATAGTCTTTTGAAGGTATTTGTTTAGCTGTGAAGCAAAAAGTTAGATAGATATGGAGTTACATTTCTTTACAATAACAGTATGTACTTAAGAAGTGACGAGTCACAAGTATCAGACGAATTCTTACCCTAGGAGTAGACGATTTATAACATACAGACAAAAGTCCACATACCACATTTTACGCTAAACAGTTTTGTTACTTATAAGTAGTTCGCAAGTATCAAATGTTAACAGCACAGAAACATGTGTTATGCAACACCGTTATTTAAAAAGTGATTTATATCTGACAAATGTACTTCACACAATTATTTCGTGAATTTAAAGAAACAAAAAACGCAACTGCAAGTGAAAATTATTAACATCAAATACTAATTAGATAGTTATTTGTTGAGTTGAATCACAAAGAAAACACTTACCGGATTGCCTGTTTCAGTCTCAATAGCAGAAAAATATATACAAATTCCCATTTTGATTAAGTGATAATAACTATAGCGAAATAACAAGACTATAAGAATGCTTTTATTACTAAAGCAAATAAAATCAAGGCTTAGTTTAAATATGATAAAGGACTGAGAATTTATTCCGCTGAGATCTATATTTGAAAATTAAAACTGAGATCGAAAGACTACACAACTGTTCCCTCTCTTCGGATGAAAGACTCATTGCGGTAACTCATCTTTAACTTCCTAAAAGGCTTAAGACTAGGTAGGAGCTTTATGAATAGTTGATGTTAAGTTAATAAGTTGAAATTTAATGATTAAGATTCTTTACTTTAGTTAACTCATCGTATGATAAAATTATCTTCGAATTCACATTAACAAGGTTTTATAAATGAGTTAGGTAGAATAGTAATATACAAGATATTAAACACAGCCTAAATATTCTCCAGTAATTTATCAATTGGTTTTGAGTTTACAAAAGCTATTTGAATAAATTAACTCGGATGTATATTTGATTTCATTTGATAATTTGTAGAAGGAAGGAAAAAGTGTTTAATTAAAAGAAAACACTATATTAAAACATTAATTTTTACCACGAACTGAAGAAACATTGACTAAACAACTGTTTAATCCCATTCTAAGATATCTCAGTAACACTCACTCATGACCATAAGATGAATCGAAGCCGAGACATGTAGGTCTAAAGAGTGGGGATGTTTTGTTGCTATGTCTATACGAGGTTGTTTCTTCTTAATTTTGACTTCTGTTTGTAATCTCAGTTTATTCTGTAAGCTTTATCTACTCTATTTCTTATTAGTGTTTGGATTATTAACCTTCAAGGGTTATTATTTGACATTAGTTGTCCCATTGAGTTGACATTCGTTTCTGATTGTATTAGATGGATCTCAATCATTCGTAATAAGAAACTTATCAAAGGTCTAACCAAAATCCTATCGTAATGGTTTATAGAGATTTAAAAGTCTGTGAAAATTTTCTACTGAAAGAATAAAACACAGCTAATTCAATTAAGTAATGAATTTAGATCATTGAGAGACTGTACAGGTATATTGTAAATGAAAACGTATCAAAATGAGGTGGTGTACATTTTAAAAATTTCCGTTCAGTTGTATGAAGACAATAGTTAGTTTGTTAGAAATGTTATATACGAATATTTTGTAATTATCGGAAGGGATTTTGTGGAGATTTAGTATTTTCATGGTTGCAAGCGTGAGTCAATTGAAGCTAGACCACCAAGGAAAATCTGGTAGGTCCTGGTTTCGAATCTCGCAAGGTGAGGTCGTGGATACGCACTGCTGAGGAATCCCACAATAGGACGAAACGGCCGTCCAGTGCTTCCAGGTTTTTCCTGGTGATCTAGCTTCAATTGACTCACGCTTGCAACTATTTTATGATCAGTTAAAACTAACTAATGATACAAACTCTGAATACAATCCAAACATTATTTGTATGATCGAGAATAATATTGAGAATATACAATATGCGATGAAACCTTAATCTACGGATTATGTTCTTTAAACACTAATTAAGGGATCTTTTTTCCATCACTTCATAGTTGATTATGGATTTCCAGAATAAAAAAGATCGGGATTTTTTTCTGTAGTGCAAATATCCTCGACTTCCTGGATATTTTCATGAGCAACTTAGTTTTTTAAGCAATAGGGATGATGGTGACGATGGTTTAACAGAATAGCAACTGACCAATAGACATACCTGTCCTTCTTTATCTTCTTCTTCTTCAACTTGATTTTCATCCAAAACAAATAAATACTTCTCACCGTAACCAGCATCTTTAAGACGTAATTCGGCAGCCAACATACTGTAATGTGCACAACAATCTTCAGGTGAGACTAGATAACGAACTTCTTCTTCTGATGGTAATCGATAATCAGAGCGTAGAACCCACCAACTTGCATCTGAACCTGTTTTTTTATTGTTAATTTTTTTGGATATAACAATGTAAACAAATTTTTGCTTAAAACGTAACTCAACATTAATACTGATTTCACATTAACCAGTTGTATTTATTCATTTATTTGAACACATAAATATTGGTACAAAGGGGCACCAGATACATATGCGCCAAACAAATCTTATTTGATTTGTGTGAGGGCTGTGATACTTCCCGGGTGCCCAAACCGAAGCAGGTAACCAGTTGTATTACAGTAAGCAACTGACTATAGAAGCGTCTTTTGATCTTGACATCAATATTCTGGAGAGACCATAGGCTATCTAGTTTTCTTTTGTTAATAAATGATAGTTCTTGCTTGTAGTTTATGAGTGGTAACATTCATACTTGTTATTATTTGTTAGGTTATTCACACTTTTGGTTTTCTAATTTTATTGTACTCCAAGGTCATTGTCCACTGCTGTATATACAGTTATTCAAACATAATTTTGACTTCTTGAATACCAAGCTTATCCTAGACCTTCTAATTTCTCTTATGTACTGAAGATTATTGTCGAAGTGTTAAATATCAGTCCTCAGGCCTGCAGAGTTGGTGTAGGTTGAGTTTGTATTAAAAATCCCCATTGTTCGTAATTATTAATTACTGCATGTGGTCTCTCAAATTAACATAATGTCAGTGTGTTATTTTCAAAATCATTCAGAAAGTTGAAAAGATATAACCATATCACAAAACATTTGTTCAAATTTTAATAACACTTTTTAGAACTGACTGCTGACATCTTCTAACAATAAGTCAAAAATTAGGACCAATGTTAGTTAGGGAACGACTGAAAAGCAGGGAGCATTGAACAGTTATTCTGTCTTAGTAATGTACATTAACGACGTAAATTATGCAGTGACGTGATTTCCACAAACTCCTTAAACTAAAGATTATCATGTGTTCACTAGTAACTGATTTCGGGGTGATTTCCACAGTCCTAGTGAAAAGCCGCAATCGGTGGAGTCCAACCATGTTGGATGTGAGGCAATCGCCCACCAAGTGAATTGGAAGATTACGGAGCAATATTGAGAACTGATTGAAGTTAGAAATATAAACCATTGTATGCTGACTTAGTAGTGTAAAGGTTAGGTGCTCACTATGACACCTGGAGGTTCTGAGCTCGACCAACGATGGAGTCATGAATTTACACTGCTGAAGAGTCCCATACTAAGACGGAACAACTGCCAGGTGTTTCCTGATCCCCAATGGTAGTCCAAATAAGACCGGTCCGTAATATGAACTAAGGAATTCAGGCAGTGATCACAAAACCCCTATAATGATTACTTATTTATGTAAACTAACAAAATAGTCATTGAAAACAGAATAACAATGTTATCAATCAGTAGATAATAGAACAAAGTCTATTGAAAGCGGTATTAGTAATAACAATAATAACTATGACATACCAGTACGTTTGAAATCGGCACAAACTTTCAATCGTTTTCTGACACTGCTTTCTGAATGATTAGGAAAAGCTTTGCGAATCTCTTCCATTTTAATTCGTTTCGGTTCATCGGTACTACGTAGAAATAAGCGCAGAATAAATACTTGTAGAAAATCACGTACAAAATTATTTGCACGTTTTGAATTTGGTCCAGGTACCTCCATAAGTGGAACTTCTTGTCCTACAGTAAATGCATTTGGTACACGGCGTATACTAATTCCATTACGATTACGAATCATTAAGAAATCTGTACTGGCAACAGTATGTGGATAAATTGGTGCACGATACATACTATTTTCAACAGTCTGTAAAAAACAAAAGAAAAACATATGAAATGCGATAAATGAAGTGTAGTAGTAATGAGCAGTAATGCAGATATCATGAATTTGTAGAATTACTCATGATTTGCCATGTTAATTTTAGTAAATATAAAAAGGTATATGTATAAATAGACAAAAGTTAATTGACGAGAAATTAGTAGAATTGGACATGTATCATGACATACGAAACATTAATAATCATTTTAAGCCTAAAGAATTAGTGATAACCTCAGCGTAAGATCAAACCCAGTAGGAGTTTGCTTGGAACCTTCACAATTGTGAATTCAGCTCTATAGTACAGTACCGATAACTGATTCTTAAGATCATACTGAATGAAATGAAGCCGATTTCCAACCTATTTTCACTCTATTCATCATTCACTTTGTTTACATCTCACTTGTCAGTAGCTGAAACATGGAGTAGATTAGGATAGAATAGAATTAAGTTGTACGGAATTATGCCTGGTAAATGAATTATTCAGTTGAAAGGTATTTAAATTTTCCACTTTTCAGTAATGGTCTACTAAATATCACTTTATACGAATGCCGCAGTGTGGCCGAATTCGAGGAAAGACCTCTCTCCTCAAAATCCTTCAATATTGTCACACACTTATAACCACCACCAAACAAGTCAGACTCATTGTCTTCTCGTGGCGGCGCCATTGTTTACGAAATCGAGAAAATGAAAAGTGAATAACTGGTGGCTTCCACCACGTTGTTCGGTACAAGCGATCCATTTAAACGAGTTGGAAAACATTGATTCCAAATCAATGGTGTACATGGCCTACAGAATCCTGAGGGAACAAGTGGAATATGAATCTGTTGTTGGTCACCAGCTACCATGGGACCGTGTGTGCTAACGTTGATCCATTGTCTTGTGAATTAGACCTCTAGTTCAAGAGCTCGAAGAGTGGTCCCCTAATCAAACCACCTGTTTCGGTTTGGTCATTCGAATAGTAATCTAGTCCACACACACATACACAAATTTAATGATAACTAATATATATGGCACGTATAAATTTCGGTGCGTTTAAATCAATAAATAATAAATAAATAACATACAGAGAATCATTCCAACTAATTAGACATTACTATGTGTGTAGAAAATTTTTTATTTAAATAAAGGGAGTTTTGTGGAATAATTAATTAATTAATGGTTACAGAGATGTTCTGAGCGTTCAAATTAATCTATCAGAGACATCAAAGTGAAATTATGCATCATAAAGGTGAATGGTTCCCATGCTTATACTATCCATCTGCTAATTCACAGCCTTACTTATAAATCAATTTGTAAGTTACCTATTATAGTAAACAAATTACCCGATTACATTTTGTCATTCATACATAAAAATCACTGTGAATTAAAGCTATAATGCTCTGGCGCGAGACTGGTAGGTCCTGGGTTCGAATCCCGAGAGGCGGGATCGTGGATGCGTACTGCCGAGGAGCCCCACGGTGGAACGAAACGGCCGTCCAGTGCTTCCACGTTTTTCATGGTGGTCTAGCTTCAATTGACTTATGATCTTAACTATATAAAATTACTAAAATCTTGACAAAAACGTCCTTGTGATTAGCATTATTTATCTAAAAACCAATGATTTTTATTAGACAAATCAACAAATAGTGAGAAACGTTATTTAACTGAATGATAAGCAAACTTAAAATTATTAACAATAGATAAAAAGAGCAAGAAAAGCTAGTGTATGTTCATTTACCTGTAAACAACCGCCAGGTCGAATTACACCAAGAAATGGACTGTCTGAACCTCCTACATACACAAGAGAGCCATAAGGCAATTCCGGTGGTTCACTATAAGCATGTGGAGATGGTGAAAGTGATCTGTCCCTTGGTACCAATGGACGATAATAATTTATGATTCTTGTAGCCATACCAACCTATGATTTTTTTAAAAAGAACGTAAATATGAGATTAGATTACAATGTTAGATGATTGAATATATATTTGGCAAGATAACCTAGAAACTTACATCATATCTTAACATTGAATAAGATATCGAGGCAATTAGACTAATGGTCAGATTACAGCTTGACCGATAGTATTCGATTAGTACTAAGAGAATTAAACAAATATGACATTGATCATTACTTGTGACTCGACAAATTGTAAGATTACAGTGATTAATGACTCTAAATTAGATTGGAAATAACTAATTTTTGTTTATTTTTAAACGTTAGATCTTTTGTTAGGAAGAGGTGAGTAAAGATCGAACCTTTAGCTCAGTGTCAGAAAACTGGACACGTTAATTATTAGGACACTTGGTTTATTAAAAGTCCAAGAGTACATACGCAACATTTTCATTCCCATTTGTTCATAATTATGCAGATCTTATCACTAATTGTGTAAACTGTAAGTTTAATCAATATGAAGTTTAAGAAATTTTTAAATCCGTTTCCTATATAACAGCGAGATAAACACGGAAATGTAAATCAGTGAAAGTAAAAGTATATAACTACCAAGATTTTTGTCAATCAATAACGCATAAAATTACTTATCAAACTCAACAGTCAGTCAGTCACAACGTAGGACTTCGTACGTACGTACATCAGTTCGAGTTGCCATACCATATTAGCACAGAGATGCAATTGTCGATTCAAATCCCATAGTGGTAGAGATAGTAAGAGTATAAGGGTTTCAAGATGTTATTCAAAGAGTATAATCCAGTAAAATAAATTTGGAAAGATAAAAAAGAAAGGGACATGAAGAATTCACCGGAAACTATTATTTACAGTTCTATATAAAGGTTATGTCAGTAGGGATAAAGTGATCTGACCAAGTAATTGTAGCTTAGTTACTGACCTAGTAATCTGAACATCAGTGTAGATAAGTTCATTTATAATATTTTAAGGCGTATTACTCGTGGAGATGACAACAATATCAAACTGAATAATGAAAGCATGCTAACATTTAACGTTTTGGTTGAGATCATGAATCGATCAATTTTAGACCACCATTGAAGACCTGGAAGCACTGGACGACCGTTTCGTCCTATTATGAGACTCCTCAGCAGTGCATCCACTATCCCACACGCGGGATTCGAACCCAGGACCTTTGGTCTCATGCGCGAATGCTGAACCTCTAGACCACTGAGTCGGATGTACACTGTTGAGATGTACCGTACTAGGACGAGACACTCATTCGTGCTTCCAGGTTTTCAATGGTGACCTAACATTGACCGATTCATGATCTCAATCAAAACTCAACAATCTCCACAACCCTATACTGTTAACTTGATGTTTTGTTAGTTCATTCGTCTGAATTATTTTCTCTGGTTAGCGGTGGATGGAGAAAACTGGTGTGCGGCCTATGCTCCTCTACAAGGGGTAACAGGCGTAAGTAAGCAAGTTCATTCATCTATTCTTGAATATAATATTATTGTCAGAAGGGGTTTTGTGGAGATTTCAGTATTTTCATAGTTGAAATCATGAGTCGATTGAAGCTAGACCACCGTGGAAAACCTGGAAGCAATAAACTATAAACGTGTATAAAATATGTGGTTTGTATCAATTTATGCAATTTATTATACAAATCAAGTAGTACAAACACGTTTTAACTAGTAAATAAAAGTAGTTATTTAAATAATCGATTAAAGGGTTGGGTGAAGTGGGATTACTTTATTTTTAAAAAAACTATCACATAAACTACCTGAGCTAATAAAGGTGGATATTCTTCAGAAAATTCAAATAAAACAATCTCTCCATCAGCTCCAGATAAATCACTAGGTGTTCTCATGAAAAATATTTCACCACCACCGGTAGCTGCTCTTTCATCCTCTCGTTCACGCATTTTACGATGAACATGACGGGTAAGATTAGTGACAGGAAATGGTATATTATACTGTGACATAAGACCACGAAGATATCTAGAAAACGATTTTTTTAAAGCATAAAAGCTATTAGTTATCAAGCATAAGCTTAGCTAACTTGTTAAAGAAACTAACACAAAATGCAATGTTCGTTTTATTTACTATGACATAGTGATCGAACTCGACAAACTGATTAGATGGTTAATATTCATTGATCACTTTATTCTAGTCCTTAATTCTACTGGTTTCTCTATGGAACAAATTGCGACGTACCAACTATGGTGTGCCTTAATCTTATGCTATAAGAAGGAATCGATAAGGTTCTCAGTCCGAATCTCATTATACCTACATTGTTTTGAGCAACTGGGTAGTATTATTAGCTCCCGCACACACCTAAGTACCTAGTGAGTGAACTAATTTCTTACCCTCAGATCTAGGCTTTGTATTGGTTGAAGTTCATCAGCAAATATTATCTGTGTTCATCATGACTGATTTGTTTATTGCGCAACTTAATGTTTCGTACAATTTGTAAGTCACATCATTTAAGATCATTTTCTTAGTATTTCAAAAAAAATTATTTTAAACAAGAAAATTTCAAAATACTTATAATTTTAACCTTTTAAGTGGAACTCTATGAAATTGACGTAAACGTAATGGACTCATGTATGTAGGGAAAAATGGTGGCCATAATTCAACCGCTGGAGTACTATGTTGTAATGGACCACAACGTGCTAAACCACCTAGAGCAAGAGCACCGCTTCGAATAGCATAATATTCATCATTTGATAAATTCAATGGATCTTTTGGTGGAATACCAGAAACTGCTGCTGCAGCCGATGCTAAAGTATTACCATCTGAGTTATATTCATTGATATCTTGAAGTTGATCATTTTTATCATCTGTATTATTCGTAGATTTTTCTGTTTGACTTGATTGCCAATCATCTTCAGCTAACAGACCATGCTAAGATAAGTGAGATAGAACAGATTGTAAAAATTACATATTGTACGTAGTGTAAGTGAAATTAGCGAGACTGTAATTTATGGATGAATCAATCAAATTTAGGATAATAGGTCCTGGATTATGGAGCGAAATTCATTCATCTATTTGGTTTTAGCATTATAGCTGATGTCAGTTCCTGATGAAAACCTTAAATATAGTTCTTAACCCTAACCATCGACTGTAAATCATAATTCTCATTCCTCACACTGGTTTTTAACCCTCATTTAGTCCCAGTTATTAGGGGGACAATCAAGGTCACCTCGGAGTCACTCAAAGTTCGTCCATAGATTATAGTCTCACCGAGTTAGGATAAGAAATTTGTAGAGATTTTTTAATTTAAGAAGTTTTCATATCACAGATCAAAAGGTAGATAGCTCTAAAAATATTGAAAATAATAGTGTTGAACACCTGTCATGGTTTTTTAGTTCGTTAAATTTCTACATATTCGAAGGTCACATTCTGCTACTATATTAACAACTTTTGTACCAATTTCATCTGAGTTGCTTGTTCTACCACAATATCAAGTGACCTGAAATTCCGTCTTCTTCCTGTCTTAGCCGTCGAGGTTTGATGTTGTTGAGTATAAATGACTGTTGTCAGTTCCGAAGAGAACCTATGGTATTCGAGAGGCTTAATCGTTTTCGTTCCTAAATCCGTAACATCGTAGACCGTACTGAATCTTAATAACAAGACATAACACACTATCACCTATTTAAAGAAATTCTGAAATACAGTTATACTGAACAACATATATGATGTAATCAAAGTGAAAGTTGGGGGATTATTTATCAATTTAACTCACTTTACCCAAAATCATTTTAACTTTCTCAGCACCTTTCTCAGCTTTAGCTAGTGCCCCAGTGAACATACCACGTGTTGATGCTAATCCAAAATTCACTTGAAGACTAGTACGATTCATTGAATTCGTATTAGATTTATGTTGAGATAAAGCATTGTCAGTATCATTTAACCCATTGGCATTAGACCAATTATTATCATGAATATTTGAAAGGTTACTACTACTAAGATTACCACGTTGATTAGGACCAGTAGTATTACTGCCAATTGTTGACAAAGAATTCGGATAATCACCTATTGTTGTCGATGTTATTGTTGATGTCGTCGTTGTCGTTATCATCGACGTTGCAGTGCCCATTGTTGCTACTGTTGTTATGTCAGATTCTGTTGTGTCATAGCCTCGATGCATTAAACGTTTCTGCCGTTGATTACGTATTGATGATAATACTGAAGCAATAGTTGAATCATCGATCGGTTCTAAAATGCATGTTTCATCATTTTGATCTAATGTAAGTAAAAATGGCGGAGGTTGTTCATTAATCGGTAAATCTGAATCATAAATTATATCATGTACCCATGAATTGTTTAATATACTTTCATTTTCAATTGGAAATATTGAATAAGGTGGATGATGATGATGGTTTGGATAGGATGGTGATAATGATGTAGTATTGTTAGAGGAATAATTTAATAAACTTTCCATTATCATTCCCGTTGTTGATGAAGAGGAAGTGGTTAAACCATTGATAATTTTTGAACTTAATATAAATGGAAATTTCCCTTGATATGCATCCTAAATATAATTTTGTTTTGAAAAACAAAGCATTAAAATAGATTTACTAGTTAACATTGTGATAAAAAAGAAACTTTGACAATAGTAATATACAGTTTAATATGTGACAGACAATAAATGACACTTTCTTCTCATACAATGACAAATATTACCCCTATTTTTGTTTCTAAAACCGATGAGAAATAAAAGTCAGTTGATAACTTATAACCTACTCCTACACTAGGTAAAATCGCGCGTCTTGGTAGGCCATAATCGGGCATACGTAATACAAGTTTTAACACCTCAATTGATTAAGATTTAATACCTCATCAACCAATTTGGCATTTTTACCTTGTAATCCGAACCAGCGTTGCTCACACTCTTGTTCCAACATAAATGAGCAATGCTTCAAAGGAATCTAAGAATAAATACTAGTAACCTAAGGATTTTCTATATTTTTTTAAAGATCACATTTAATAGACGATAACTAAACAGAAAGAACTGATGGGTAGTAAACTTGACCTACGGTTAGGACATGAACTTCTCGCCCACGTCACAGGTGACGCATATTGCTTAAAGCCAAGTGAGCTTTCAAAATTCGTGCTGAAAATTTGTCAGATATCAATCCACCAGGGGTAATGAAAGCTCCAGAATAAATGAAACTGTTGAAATTCCCAGCTATTTTGCTACCTATGACCAATTTGGGTATTGACGTAGACCAGTTCTAAAGCAACATTTTGCATTTAGAAATCGAGAAACGTATACCATACATGCTCACCTTTTTAAGGCGCTCAGAAGACTACATTTCACTGGCGTCTTCATCAAAAAGGACTATGTCATCTGGGTGTTCTAAGTCAATAAGTGGATATTATAGTAAGAAATCAATTTCTGAAGATCCAGAAGACAAAAGCGTTATTTCTAAAAGAATGTTTACTAATTGATTAACAGTGAGTATTATTACTTCGTAAGAATATAAACTATACGGTGTGTTTCTAAAAGTACAGTGAGCAATAAAAATTACATTTTACTAAGGTTCAGTATTAGTCAGTTTACTGTTCTCTTAGTCTGCATACAGAAATAATTTATAAGCTTCTCATAACAATACTACATTTTTAGATATTAGGGATTTGAATCCAAAAAAATTGCTGAATAATTTTTCTGTCAATTTTAAACGTTAAATTATTTTTATTTAAAACTTTATCGTAATAAGAGACTGATTAACTACAGTCCTGAATAACAATAAGAAGATTCAAAAAAAACAAACAATGCAAAACTGAACTAAGCTTCATCCTATTCCACAAGCTAGTAGATAACTGGACTCATTAGCTAAGTGGATAACGCGATGGCGCTTGAAGCGAACGATAATGGGTTCGAGTCCTTGAGTGAACATTAACTGTGAGATGCATGTGCATCCAGCTGACGAGTCTCAAATAGGATAGAACGCGCATCATAGATTCCACTGATAGTAACCATCATCATTTCTTTATGTATCTTACTTGTTTAAAATGATTATGACTTAATTTCTATACAGATAAAGAAAGAGTATAATTAATGAATAAATTCATCATCATTATCACTATTGTTTGTTTGTTTTATTATTTACCTGAAATGAAGCCATAGTACGACAATGTTGTGATGGTATCCAACCGGCATAGGCAGCATTTAAACGTGAATTAGTAGATATTTTATTTGCACTTAATTGAGGATCATATATTATATCATCTTCCCAATTTAATATTTGATATAAATAGAAATGATTTGGTGTATTCATTCCTTCAAGACATGGATGACGTGAATTATTCTTACCTGGTAGGCAAAATTTTTTAAAATGAGAAATAGAAATATTGTAACAAAAAAGGAATGAACAAAATTTGCGGGATTATATATATGCAAATACATCTAGCAAACAATTCCCAAATAGGTCAAAAGTCGCTTCCTATATTCCAGTGCTAGCCACATTCCATATATTCTATATTAACTTGTATCATAATGGTTATATCGAAGCAATCCGCACAGTATGACCATATAACATTTTTTTTTATTTAAACACATAAATATTGGTACAAGGAAGCACCAGATATATATGCGCCATACAAATCTCATCCGATTTGCTTGAGGGCTGTGATACTGCCCAGGTGCCCGAACTGAAGCAGGTGGTTTTCTTAGGGGCCCACACCCGGAGCCTTTGACCGAAAGGTCTGATCCACAAGGCAGTGGAGCATCGTGAGGAGATGCAGTCCCATGGTAGCCGTTGACCAGCAGCAGGTTCATTCGCCATTCGTTCCATCAGGATACTGGAGCCCATGTGCACCATTGGTTTGGAATCAGGGTTTTCCAACTCCCCTAGGTGGACCCTCCATGTCCACCAACCCGGTTAAAGCGCCGGACATTCGCTTTTCGTCCTCTCACTTTCGTAAACAACACCTATGGTACGAGAAGGCAGTGAGTAGGACTTCCCTGGTAGAGGCTATATATTCGCAGAGAGGCTATATATTCGCTATATATATATATCATATATATACCATATTCGCTATATATACCGTATTCGCTATATATACCATATAACAACAAAAATGAATCAAATTTTAGTCCGAAATATCAACAACAAGATAATTCAAACCATTTTAAATTGAATAATATTAATAACAGATAAGAAATCGTGTACTAACAGATGGTTGTTTCATCTTAGTTTGCGATACTTTATAAGTAAAAAGATATTGTTCAGCTATCTGGATGAAGTAGGGTTCGAACATGTAACCTACCCATTGAAAGCTGAACACTTTAACAAGTAGGCTGTTATCATACAACTTTATGATTAGAACGTTAATCACTGTTTTCTTGTAGTTCAATTCATAATACACGTAGTAGTGAAAATACAGAAAACATCCAAATGTTTGGTAATACAATGAGTTTACTCGGTTCATTTTAAGAAACTGGAAGCCAGAAGGTATTTATTTAGTCATAGAAAAGGTGGAATCAAAAGTAATATGTTTAGTTATTTACTAGTTATCATCTAATCTATCCGAATGAATTAACCGACAACTATGTGAGTGAATTTATGTACATCAAAACACTACTTGTATATTTTGATATCACAGAGTGAGAAATGTTAGGGATAGGAGACTGAGTAAATCCAGCAAATCGATTGATGACGTAGTGAATCTTCAACTGAGGTGGTCGGGACATGTTTTGCGTATGCCTAACCACTGCTTACCTCAATGGGAGATTTTACCTGGTGTAGGAGTAGTTACGAAGAAAGCTACGGGCAGCCAAATCAAGACGTGGCACCAGTTCATAAAGTCAGCAACAATTTGACTTGGGTATGCTAGTAGGTTTAGATCACTGCATGATTATCGTAACCAATGGTTTAAGACTTTCAGTCGTTTGCAATCGCATACGTGCATTTACTCCTTGTCTTTTATTAGAACCTGATTCCTGAAATCTCCTTGAAATTTTTTTTATATTTTTGTGATATTATTGATACGGTTACTACTCCTACTACTTTGGGATTTGTCTTGAAATAATTTTTATGTAGTTAATTCAAATGTGGTATGGCAACTTGGACCGATGCACATATGTATCAGGCTGCGCATGACTTACTGATTGAGAACATTATTTCTTATGTATCAGGGATATATAATTTTCTATGAATACTGTCACTTTCTATCTAAACTCCAAAAATGGCCTCAGAAGTAAAACGTTTTTAGTCATTGTTTAGAGAAAAAAATCACTTCAAAAACAAATAAGCACAATTCACTAACCATATATAACGAAAGTCTCTTGTGACATATCATAGATAAACTAGATCTTTCTAGGTAGGAAATAAAACCAAACAATGGTCTAAACTGAAGTACATAAGAATGGGCTTAAACCTATGACTTATTCCCTACTACTAATGCTACTACAATCATTACTAGTACTACTAATACTGTGGTGTATGCTATTTATTTTGACAGGTATAAGCAGTATGTAACACCAGTTGGAAGTGGCATACCTGTCAAAAGAAGATTGAGAAGACTGAACTGAAGAAAACCGAAAGAAATTGGAATAAAAACCGAATTGGAAGAATCATGAAGGATGTGAAGGGCAACTAATGGAAGATGTGCAAATTGTGTATTAATTGTATGGTTTACATAATTTACCAAGACACTGTAATTTTGTACTAAACAATGAATTGGTCTACCCCACATGAATTTTCGTTCACTACACCACTGCTACTATTAATAATAATAATAATAATAATAATAATAATAATAATAATAATAATAATAATAATCAGTAAACACTGCATGCATATGAAAGTTTTTTATTTGTAATCAACGGTAGGACACTTACATAGAGTTGGAGATGAATGAATTAACGATTCAGTTGACAATCGCTGTTGACAACCATCAAGATCTTGTTTACTGCACACTTGATCTGAACAACCTCTGTTGAATGATTCATTATCAATATTTTCTTTTTTAATAGTTGGAAAACTTGGTACTGTTTCATTGACTAATTTATTTGTATCTAAATTACTATAATTATGGGTTTCATATTCAGAGTTAGTTGAGGAATGGAGAGAGAGTGAATTGGAGTCGTTGTTATTATTATTAATACTACAGGCGGTAGTATTGGTAGATGTTAATGGTCGACGCCATTCTGTCCATTCAGAAATATTTATATCTAATGGTAGACCTAATTGATCGTACCAATATTTTGCCGGTCCTAATCTCCAACCTAAATAGCTAAATTGAAATTTAAAACAATTAGAAAATATATTTCACCAAAAAGTCGTTATATTGTTTATGAAAATATATGGACATAGAAACATTTCCAGAAATTGAAGAGAGGAAAAATACTTGAATTGTTGGAACATCTTAACAGATTGATTGCAGCTTGGGTAGATTGTAATTCATCTTGTAACTGAAATTTTAAAAGTTTTCCCTTAGATAACAGACCTATAACCACCATCTACCATGTACTTCCATCAGAAGACTAGTAAACATGCAGTCGATAATAGAACTGAAGAGGCAATTGTAGATGAAACAATTGTTGGTTTATAACAATTTATTTAAACACAAACATTGACACAAAAGGAGCACCAAAATATATACGTGCCATACATATTAGTTATTATTCAATTTTTGTGAGTGCGTGTAGACTGGAATACTATTCGAATGACCAAACCGAAACAGGTGGTTTGATTATAGGACCACTCGATGGGCTCTTGAACTAGAGGTCTAATTCACAAGACAGTGGAGCAACGTTAGCACACACGGTCCCATGGTAGCTGGTGACCAACAACAGGTTCATATTCCACTTGTTACCTCAGGATCCTGTAGGCCATGTACACCATTGGTTTGAAATCAATGTTTTAATTGGATCGCTTGTACCGAACAACGTGGTGGAAGCCACCAGTTATTCACTTTTCATTTTCTCGATTTCGTAAACAATGGCGCCGCCACGAGAAGACAATGAGTCTGACTTGTTTGGTGGTGGCTGTAGGTGCGTGGCATTTTGAGAGGGAGAGTGGAATTTCTTCATATTTGACCGTACTGGGGTATTTGAGAGCTTATAACATACATTATACGATATATAAGACGAGAAGAAAATGAATATTTACCCAAAAGTAAGAGTAGAATGTGTATATCAGCTACAATGTTTTTCTTCAAATTTAAAATGAAGAGAAGCTTGGAATTGATACTAATAATAATAACAATGATAACGATAACAATAACTTACGTGTCTATGTCATTGTTAAGTGTCTTATTTAAATCGTCATGTTTATGAATTTCGTCACATTCTAGTTGTTGTTTATGTGTAGACGACATTTTTTTATCATTACCATCAGCTTGTTCATAGGTTTCAGCTTTTTTAGGATTCATTAATTCGTCAAGCGCATTTTTAAAGGCTCTACGCCACCATGAATGTTCACTACCAGCTAAATAATCTAAACCTGGAATTGGTGGAGTATTCAACTCGACTACTTCATCATGACAGTTGATCTCCTCGGGTAAAGGAATTTCTCCAAGATCCAAAAATCCATCATATACAAGATGCAACCTGTTTAGCAGAAAAAAGAACGAAAGAAGTAAATGGCAACTAGTTTTCGTTTAGCGGACATATTACTTTTTCAACTAATGGAATGAGTTTTTAGAGCTTAGGTGAGTGATTTTTATGATACTTGGCTCACTGACAACAACCGAATAGTCTACATCTGTCAACATGGTTCAGAAGAACAATCGATGATTATATAATAATAATGATAATAATAATAATAATAATAATAATAATAATAATAACAATAATAATAATAATTGTAGAAATATGGTGGTATTCGTCATAACTTTTTTCACCAGCCTCTAAGTCACCCAGTTGGAACATAGAACCTAGTACGTGTGTACTAACCTTTATACCCATAACGATAAACAGAATATTCAAGTATAACGGTATTATAATCAAACTACCTGAAAGAACGTCCAATTAGACAGGTGGGTTTTCAGTTAAACAATGACAGTTTACTACAGTTTTGAATATATTTTTTCTGTTAAGGATGGAAAACTAAGAATACTGATGATGATTTCAATCAGGAACTATATAATGGACGAATATAAGGATATAACAACTTGTAAAGTCTTCATAGGCAACGCCAAGGAGGTAAAGAAAAGAGTGAAGTAACATTATTAGGGATTTGCTCTGTATCTACTGGTTAATTAATTGGATACTAATTACTAACACATAACTCAATTTAATGAAAAATATTGAAGTCGTTTATATTAGTAAGTGATAATACTGCGTAGGAAAATGAACTGATTGGAAAGTTTGGTGTATAATGATAACTACGCTAATTTCACAAGGAGCATGAAGCTGAGAGTTAGTGAATTAAGGACTTTCAATTTTTTTTAGCTTTTAAACCATGAGTTCGGATGTTACGTTACTAATTTATTTAAGTTTAAGCAACCGATTAATATATTTAGCACCCAAGAAATTATTGTTACTGATACTGTATTACATTAAACCACACACAACTAATAATCAAAGAAGATAAGAATGACTGATCGAATAGATATTAGAATAAAAGACAAGTTAGTTAACTTACCGATCACCTCGTGATGGTCTTTGTGACAGAATCTCTTCCATATAATCATAATGCTCAATAAACTCACGATAAACTCCTAGCTGGTGTGGTAATTTAAATAAACGTCCCCATAAGGGTGTTTTTCCTGGATCATATGAAGGGAAAAGTTCTTTTATATCTACATTCATGTATTCTGTGGGCATAAGACTACCCAGGGGAGTATTTAAAGCATTGTCTTGATAATGTGAAGCAGTAGTGGCGTACCCTGGACTTTTAACTGATTCTAAATTATAACTGATGATTACTGGACTAGTGGTTGGTGAATCAGCACTTCGTGAATAAACGGGCTAAAAAGAAGGCAATAAACTAGTTTTATTCTTTTAGATACTACAGATCTGGTAAACAACAAGTTTGGATAAAAAAAATAGTGGAAAACAGTGATATATACAATATATCTATGATACTTTGAAATTCTATTTCCTTCACATTTCCACATTGTTTTCGACATTACTACTACACTTACTACAAACCACTTGGGATAACAAGTGAGCTGGAACAATATAAAATTTATTTCAAGTTGTTAAATTGAAAAAAACAGCACAAGAAGAAATCAACATGAAAGTCGACAATATTAATAAATTGTCAAACGACAAATATTGGATAACAAGTAGTTTTAAGATAATGGTATTGTTGTATCGCCAGTTGTTATATCGTATGAGTGCGCGCTTGCCCTGTTAATATATGAACGTGCTGATTCCCACCAATAAGAGAAGAGCGAATTATCGATCGGATCAATAATACACAAAAGCCGTATGAGTAGTCTTGAGTGCTACTCGGTCCTGCGATCTGCCTAGCCCAGCCAGTTAAGTCCAGAACATCAATAACAGCCTCGGCAATATGAATCATTATTCACAAACATACTGGGTTTTTATACAAACCAGACAGACCATATCGTACCAGTTATAATCCAGATAAGAGTCAATAAGATGGGTTTAAAGACATGATATACAGTTTTTAACAGTAGATTGTTTTATTGACCCACTGACTCTAAGTTAAATTCTCTCCATAAACTAGATTTAGTTAGTAACATCATGATTAAATGTCATTGATTTGACTCAACCAACTTGTGAGTTCTCTACAGGGATTTTTTTAAGAACACAGTAATCACATAGTTTTATTCGTGAAACTGTGAGACATACTTATTGCGTAACATCTTTTAATTTTGCTAAACTGTTCAAATCTTAAAAAAGTGATAGGTCTGAGATCATAACTAAATAGCTGAGAGCCTATTGACTTGATCACAAAATTGTGAGCTTCTTTCGCATTATTTTTATTTTAGCGAGCATTTTATTTTATGGTAGGGAGTGATGGAAGACGCATCGTAATAGGTTAACCTTGTAAATGAAGTGGAGAATTCGCGGTGCCTATCAGTGACAAGATTAATTATTCCGTTTATTATCTTAGAAACTAATATACCTAAACTAGAGTGGGAGTATGGAAGTCCAAAGTAAGATACTCGCCTAATCCAAATTCAGCCAAGTTCCTCAAAGCTGATCATTATAGAAATCCCTGTTGATATCCATGACTTTTTGGAGCTCTAGTTTATTGATTAGGGCTTGCAGATATCAACTGTTACATCTCAGCTTCAAACCCCGAAGCATAGGTTTTAGTAGTTGGGTAGTATAACTAACTTACACACACTGTGTAGATTAAAGCCAATACCCATGTATACCACAATCGATGCTATGACTGACTGATTACGAATACTTTTCTCAATGTCTACCACAATATCTTGCAAAAATTATCACTTTAAATACACGGAAATGGTGAGTTAGAGCGCACTAGAGGCAAATAAATGATTTGATGAAGACAATGGAAAATGGTTCTGTGATCGATGTTGATATGAATCCAATGATGTTAGGTATGTATTTATTTTAAGATTGTAAACTAAACTACATAGCTATAATTCGCTCACTATTAGACTTGGCAGTAATTGGTGGATTGAAGATGTAAACGAATGTTTCTACACTTTAGTTGCCGAGATCAATTTTTTCAGTAGAAACATTGCTCAAAATAAATAACAGGAGAGGTAAATGCCAGTAATGCTTTAAATGATGGTGATTTATGTCTTATTAAATTCAAATATGTGAGTTATTGAAAAGTGAAATGGTAGCAATTGCATACTTTTTCAAAGGATTTTAGAGGTCACTACAGTGTATTCTCGCATACATACTTCTGAGAAGCAGGATAAACCAAAGGGATAGGAAAACGAGGACTATGGCTTCTAAATCAAAATTTTCAACTATGAACAAGGTCGTAATAATGAAGAATATTATACTCGTCGGATATGGAGACTACAGGCTCGATAATCTTGTTAGGATAATCTAATCCCCAGACATATCTTGTATATGAGTATAATATAGATAAACAGGAATGATATGTTCTTCAAAAGGGTAGTTTGGAATGTCAGAAATGTACAAACGACATAATAATAACACAACTCAGTAAAGGTATTCACAATACTCATAATTTAAGCTACCAGTCATATCTCTTGTGGTGATGAAGTGTACTATTTTAGTGTCCGAAAAGAAAAAATATGGATTAAGTCAAAACGTATTACTGAATTTCGGGAATAGTGCCTAAAGCACAGATTCAGTTACACAAAGTTTTATACTGTTAATCAAGCGAAGGTTCAACCATGAAAGTCGAAACGTCTGTGTTGAATTTCATGAATCTTATTTGGGAGTTACTAGACGTTTTGCGATTACCAGACTATAAATCGCCTGTGAGTTTAAAAGCCTGAAGATTAAGATAAGTCAGAATAGAATAAAAGTGTCACGAAACAACATATGAAATTACTGGTCATCACTTCGGACAAAGGGAATAAACACAAGTTGCTGTGACAACATGTATGTGCACTGCAGTGATATTCATTGCCTAGTACTGGGTAACTAACCAACTCATATATACGCTTTGTCTCATTGATCACATAACCATATGCTACGTATTAAGTAAATATACTGTATGAGTCCATTAGAGATAGAGAGATACACATATGTTATGAATCTCGATACGATTTGTCATGAACTATGACACCTATTATCATACTTGGGATTTGTAAGTATCATTACCAAGTCTTGACTTGATAATTTGAGCATTGGGTAGATTGTTATAAATAAATTAGTATATTTGTGATATCCCAATGAGAAAAAGTGGCTTACACTGAGTCACGAAACGTCAGAAAATTTAATTTTCCCACTAATTGGGATATTACAAATATATTTATTTATTTGTACTTGGGATTGTCGCATTAAAAGAGGCTTGAAAGGTTGCTACTAAATGACAAAAAAAATAAAATACATTTAAACTTATACCTTAATTTGATTTGAACGAGAGATTGAAAGCGGTGCCGGATGTAATGGAGGAGGCATAATAAGAGTTGTATCTTCGGAGACACTGATTTGAGCATAATTTGTCGGTTTGCTCGGAGAGATTGATTCAGCACGTGGTGATGATGTGTCCTCTCTTTTAAGCTGGCTGTCAGGTTCCATTAAATTAATTTCCTTTAGGGAAGATTCCTCTGGGACTGACCCGATAGTCCCACTTCCTGGCGAAGTATATCCCTCTTTATGAAGTGGCTTCGAATCCAAATCCATTCTGGACGTTAAATTGTGTTCTGGTTCTGAGTCGATTAAATCATAATCATCCTAAAAAGAATATACGGTTAATTTTCAATTGATTAATATATATATATATATATATATATATATATATATATATATATATATATATATATATATATATATATATATATATATAGGATTCCCTAAGTATTTTATACATAATGGGAATGAATGTATCAAAAAATGTTAGGGTTTAGAATAACAGCCTCTACGGCAGCCATTTTTGTAAGCAAGTAATCGAGAAGGTGAATCTATTGTTTACTGGTAAATAACGATGTTAGCGGCAGTTAGACTAAAACATGAAACCAAATCATGGGGAAGCTAACTTTTAGACTGAGCCATGATGAGAGGTGTAGGCATCCTGGTTGGAGTTGGCAGGGTCATTGTGACAAATTGTTGAATGTTCTTGGTGGTGGCGAAGAAGCACTTATGCTTTGTCTTTTAGATATTGGATAATAATATTATCTAATACTTTTCTTTCTCTGAATACCCTTGATTTTTTCGAAACACATTTTCGAACTTCAGTCTTCCACTACTGATGATAGTATTTCGACTCCATTGTTTTCCATCCTGAAAAACTTTTCAGAACTTTGTTGATGGATATCTGTTCCGGGTCCTACACAGTTTAAAGATTTTAACTGAATCAGCAGTTTTTCTGTTTCATAAACTTTGCCCATAACTGTTCCCAACGTGCTAAATGTAATTCCATACTATATGGTTTGTTTCAATGTCTGGATATAACTAACATCCAGTTTTATTTAGTGAACTTCAGTTAGCAGAAGAGATAAATAAAAAATATGCATAGGTAATACCAGTAATAGATCTACTACTTCCACCAACTGTTTCGCACTCATAATTAAAGTCAGACATTCGGAAGCTTCACTACATGCAACCAATCCATTGGGGAAATTAGTTATTTAGGAACCTCCGACATTTTGCTTTTAAAGATTACCTCTCACAATTGTTTGATAGCGAAGGTTTTACTCTAGAGTTTTATAATTGATCGTCAATATTTAGATGCTTCATTGGAACCATGGTTAGTAACCAAGCTGTTTTGCCCGTGTCAGAATAGAGCTAGACACAAACCTATCAAGAAAGTGAGATAATTAGTGTTCAACTACTTTACTTACAAGTGTTAAACTATATACAAGAACAGACAGAAGTACATGATCATTTTATTTTTGAGAAATATAATAGGCATTACCAAAACGTTCTGAAATTTCAATTTAAGGGGTTCAAGTGTGGTGCTCTTTCAGAGAATTTGTTTAACGATACGTATTTTGGATACCTTAATTTTCTTCGGGAACTTTGAGTCAAGTCCTTTGAAATTCGGAGTAAATTGTAATTCTAACAAACGCATCGAACAGAAACAATAATAATGGATATCTTTGGTTGATAATATTGACTGTTGGTAAGTTGGTTAATCAGTCGTCATTATTTTCTGCTTCATGGAAAATTGAGGTAAAATTTTGAGTAACGTGACATACTATTTTGTAACTTTATTGAATATCATCTTGGCAGATGGAGTTAAATACCTTTCTAAACCAAAAAAATATTGACGGGGTAAAAATGAAGTATGAAGTAACTCATCAATTATAAAATCATATACTCATTTCAGAGCCACTGTGAGGGAACTAGTGATATTAACCAGTCGATCGAACTTATGTTGTGGGATTCGAACCTGAGACTCGATGTTTGAAAGCCGAGGTCTTATCAATCAACCGAGTTAGCTAGAAATCCATTTTCAAATACTCATTCGTTTTATAGAATAGAACAAAAGTAGTTTAGAAATTAAAACATTGTTAACAACCTAAAAAGCTTACGACAAAAGATACCTCTTCATTTTTTTCAGGCTTCATGTCGTATAAGACCTTCTCCACGATTTCTTCTGCCAACGCTTCTTCTTCGTTATAGTAGTCTATTGAGTTAATAGGCTGAACACCACCGTCCTCTGGTGATACTGAAGGCAAAACACTACTCTCAGAAAGCACATCTGAAGCAGCTTCTTCCACTTCTCTCACGTGGCATCGGTCTAAGTTATTGATAGATTTCAATTCAACATCATGTTGATATTCCTCGATTTGTCCTTCTTTGTTAACGTTCCCAAAAAGAAAGCTGGAGATTTTATACTTCGGGCCATCTTCATCCGGTGAATTCTCTTCACCAGGCATGGCGAAAGAAACCTTGAAAGACAAACAAGATTCTACGATTAGAAAGGTACATATCTACAGGTGAATAAATACAAAGTCATTCAAAAAATTAGTCAATTCTAGTAACTATAATACTCAATTTGTGAAACAGCCATTATATTAGCTATATTGAGGCTGACAAAGCTGACTTATCAAGTCTCAACAGGACGGTTAACGATTGAGTATATGGCCCAATACCGCTAAGTCACGTGCTTGAGCCACTAACTCAACGCAACCATGTTTCTAGTTGTTTTTTACTTAAATGTATATTGCTTCTTTTGAAAAGGGGGCCATCTAAAAAAACTTGGTTAGTTTTTTCGCCTATGTTGCGGGTAGATTTACAGAAATGAAGGCATGTTAATTGACACAGATTGTATATCAGATCAATTCCCGTATTAGAGAAGTAATCTATCATACATGTGTCAACTTTCATCAAATTTACTGACGACGAAATGCTTATGGACCAGAATATGGAGGGTTAGATTTATGTACCGACTCTAGATAAATATTTATCATTAAAAATTGAAAAGTATGAACCTCTAACATTTGGAAGGCCTGTATATGCATATACAAAGTTGATATGTATGGGTTCCGCCTTGGAGGTACTGAAAAGCATACTACACTTCTTATTAAGGACCACGGTAATTGAAATCTTTCTGACACCATTATTAACGTATGAGTAACATTATAAATGTGAAGGCTAGTGATACTAATTGGTTGCTCAAACCAAAGTAGGTGGAGGGGGGGTTGTCTACACGAAAATGTGAATGACGAAATTACGAACTTTTAACAATGGTGAAATTCACGTATTATCCCTGAAAAGTAACATTCACTATTGCTCTAAATCCTTGTGGAAATTATTTTAAGAACATTTATAGCGTTTTCCAATATGTCCATTTACCAAACCTAACTCCCTAGGAATTGGAAGGATGGTGCTGTTAGCCCTATTTTTTGGTATGGGAAGCGAAGTTCTATCAAGTCAATTAGCATAGTCCCCAAAGTATTTGAAAAAAATAAGTAGGATAAGTTACTTAGTCATATAGAACCATATAATCTGGTAACTTAAGAGGAATACAAGTTTCAGGACAGATGTTTGTGGAGAACTTGCTAATTGAGACAAAGGATTGAGCAGCAGCCCAAGATAGCAGTTTGTCTGTCGATATTAAACTCAAAGATTTCAGAAAAGCATATGATAAGATATCCTACTCAGGGATTATCCAGAAGCTATCCCGCTTTGGAACAACAGGTATTGTACAAAAGTGGATGAGCGAATTCCTGTCACAATAAACAGAGTATATGGTATACTATATGAATGGAAACCGGTTAACCGTAGCGGTTCCATAGACACTCTTAACTTCCTTATTAATTCTTTTCTATGCCAATGAATCAACGAGACGACACCTTTTTAGCAGATGACTTCAAATTCTGGAGAACAAGTAGTAAGGCTGATTATCTTCATCTTCAAGTTGATTTAGACAAATTACTTAAGTGGTCCAAAAGTTAAAGTTTGGAGATTGATTTTGGAAAGAGTCAATGGACAGTGCCATGGCTATCAGTATACCCTCAATGGAACACCGCTTCCCCATGCGCACGAACAAAATGACATAGGGGGAATATTTAGTTATGAAACCAAAACAACTGGGAATTACAGTGCGCTAAGTTTAAATGTTTCTGAGTGTCATGGTCACTTTATCGAGCTCTTAAATTTTCTGGCGAAGACATGTTTTAGATTTTATAACCCGCCTATATGAAACCTTATTTGGAATATTGGATTCAGGCAGCTAGCCTACGTCTCACTAGGGATACTAACACACCCTCAAACGTTCAGTGTGAGAAAAACAAGTTATTGACGGACTTCTTAAAACTATTTCACAACGATACTAGAACGCCTAAGTTTTTTCTTCTTATTACAGAATGAAAAATATATCTCGCGTTTAGTTATTTTCATGACATGAGAGATAAGGTACAAAGGCGTTACCGAAGGAAGAATGATCACGTACGTACGACTTTAAAGTGATTACTATTATCGACTTATCTATAGGTACAGTCTTCAGTGTTAACGAACATAAGTGTAAGTTTAGCTTTAAGTAGCTAGTTGTGAAAAAACAAGTTATTCAGATATAGTAACGTATTTTTTTCTTTACATTTTAGAATTCACAAGATTTTTTTGATCATCAGTAGTCCAACAGGCGTTATGAAAAGAAATAATAAGTGGAATGCTTTTCCTGTTAAACTCCGTTTTCAACAATTTTTTTAAAATGTGCTTACTTTTCTATTTGAGGAAGCCTGTTTGATTTTAAATGCATTTTCAATTAACCACATGTACCTTATTAATAAAACATTACATGCTCTTTTTTTGTAGCTCTTTTCAGATGACACGGGCGCCTGACAATTGCAACTAAATTATAACGATTGATGCTCTAGAATCTGCAAACTACTTATAATGTTGTACAACGATACGTTTTTTGTTTTCAATATAAATTTTTTGAACATATACCATATTTTACGTACGTTACACTTTTCGTGTGCTGTGTTGTGGGAATTAAGGCGAACACAGATGTTTGGGGTAATGATAAAGGCGCTTTAAAAGTGGGTGCAAAATTACATCGGCGTGTATATAGGCGAAAAGTAGACAATTTAGCGACATTTGAAACACGCGCGTTTCAAAAAGGGCAGTGACTTTCATACTTGTTGTGATTATCGTTGCTTTTGTGTATTTGCTGTATCAAAAGCATTCTTGGTCTACTTTAACTTGAATTAATTCAGTTAAGGTTTGAAATTTTATTGAAAACTTTGTCTCGTGGTTCCTTCTTTTGTATATACTCTGACGCTTGTGCTATTATTGTGATCATATTGTTTTTTAAACCTAATCTGATTACAATGGTTGGTAGTTCATTCAAATGTGAACAGCCGAACTGTTTATTCCCCGTAGATGAAGGGATGCAGTGCGATGAATGCAAAAAATGGTACCACAAGATGTGTACCCGTCTCAGTCCAGCTGCATACAAAAGATGTTCTAAGCCTAACTCGCATTGGCTTTGTATGTTCTGCTGTACTAACAAGACGACATTAATTCAAGAGGCTATGAGCCTATTGGCTCTAGCCTGTAAAAAGAAAGATAGTGGGTGCGCTAGTAACGCAAGCACTGACAGTGAAGACTGTGTCAGTGTTGTAAGTGCTGTTACAAAACGCGCTGAACAACCTACTCTAATTAATGACAAAGTGAAACTTCCGTTACAACAAACGAGGAGTAAATCACCACATGGTATTGACATGAGTAATCATGTATCTTTAGTAGAAATTGAGGACCCGGATAAAACCGTCACCGTCCCCAATAGTCCCAATGCAGCTGTCCTGAATGACCAAAAATGGACCGCAGTAAAGAGGAAAAAAAAGGAAAAAAAGCTAATGATAAAGCACACTTGGTTGACAAGCCATTGAGGAACTCACAGTCTGAGTCACTCAATGCATTGTCGCACTCTGATAGAACGGCAGATCATCATCCTAGTGCGACTGAGAGGAATTTAATATCATCGAATATTATTGTGAGTAAATTGCCAGAGTCTAACGATCCAGATCCTAAGGTTAGACACACCCATGACTTAGAGAGGCTCGGAGAATATATCCGTAGCATATTACCAGATAACACTAAAGGTGTTCAGGTCAAAAAATTAGTTAGAATAGGTAAAAGGGCCGATGACAGTGTTCTACCCCGACCGTGTAGACTCCTTAAGGTAATCTTAGGGTCGGAGAAACAACGTAATCTTCTGTTAAGTAACGCTCGAAGTCACGACAACTCTGACATTCGAATGCGACCGGATGTGTCTCTTGAAGATAGAATAAAAAGGAAGACGGCACTAGCTGAACTAGAAACCCGTCGACAAAACGGTGAAGAAAATCTCCAATTGGTGGGTTTTCGAATAGTCAGGTCTTGGAAGCGAATGCTACCAAGGCCTGTGTGGATAGGTCGTTCCCCCTAGGAGTTTTATATGCCAACGCCCGTAGTCTAAAACATAAATTCTACGAGCTGGGAACATTAGTGGACAAATTAAGGCCACTCATTGTAGCTGTGACGGAAACTTGGTTAGTCCATGACTTCGATATCACCCCAGAATTATCCGGATATCATTGTTTAAGAAGTGATAGACATAGATGCAGGAAAGGAGGTGGCGTCCTTCTATACATAGCCAATAGTTTAAAATATCCGCTCCTCCGTTTGCGAATCCCATGATAGTGGAACTAGTGAAGTCACTAGCTGTGAACTCACTGTCGGATGTTGTACATTTGCACTCGGTGTCATCTATCGCAGCCCAATCTGCTTAGCTGATGACTTTATTTTAGAGCACATTCGGCTATGGAGTGCAAATAACAGATGCTTGATATTAGGAGACTTTAATGCACCTGACATTAGTTGGGCTGAGATGACCACGAAATGCTCTATGAACTAATTTGATAGCAGGCTCTTGGAAACAGTAATGGAACATGCATTAGTACAACATGTATCCAAACCTACACGTTTTGGTGTAAACCAAGGTTCTTCTCTGTTGGACTTGGTAATTACCCATGAGACTGAGGATATTGCCAACCTAAATATTCTTCCCCCGTTAGTAAATAGCGATCACGCTGTTTTATCATTCACGTTTAGAGCTAGCGATATGATATACGATCAGATTAAGCCTCGCCCAAACATATGGAGAGCTAACATACCAGAAATTCAGGATTGTGCTACTAGGATAGATTGGTCAGTAGATACTAGCTCATCAGTTGATGAGGCGTGGTCTGTATTTAAAGGCAAGTTTAGTGCAGTCACGTCCCCGTTTATACCATACTTGGTGCCACGTAGACCGAACAATAGTCCACCGTGGATAAATAAAGAAGTTAAGAAACTCCTTAGGCGTAGAAAAAAACACTGGAACATGTTCATCTCTACTGGCTTAGAACGGTACAGATCTAGTTATCGTAAGATTAGAAATAATTGTAAAGCGTTAATTAGTAGGACTAGACGGTCATACGAAAAACAATTGGTTAGGGATTGCAAACATAGTCCAAAACGGTTATACTCGTATATAAAGAGGCGAACTCAGAGAAGTGATGGAATGCCATCACTTTTGATACAAGAAAATTCGTTAATTTTAGCAAGAAATGATACCGAAAAAGCGGAAGCTTTTTCGGAATATTTCAGTAAAGTTTTTTCTACCAATAATGAGGAACGATCATCTATTCATTGTGAGTGTGGCGACTTGTTGATGGACCCTGTAGTTATTAAGAAAGAAACTGTTTTAAGCCTACTTCAGCATCTCAAACCTGATAAGTCTAGTGGTCCTGATGATATTTATCCTCGGATTATGAAAGCCCTCTCAGATGTTATTGCTGAACCCTTAGCGATGCTGTTCGATATGTCCCTACGGCAGTCCAGATTGCCCAGAGACTGGAAGGACGCAATAATCAGTCCGGTGTATAAGACTGGGGGTAGGGATTTAGTTAGTAACTATCGACCCGTCAGCTTAACTAGTGCAGTTGTAAAACTAATGGAAAAAATTATTAGGATGGCTGTTATAAACTACGTGGAAAGACATGATCTTTTGTCAAAGGAACAACATGGTTTTCGAAAAGGTCTATCATGTTTGACAAATCTTCTCATTGCAAGAGAAGATTGGGCTGAGGCAAAAGATCGCAATATTCCTGTAGATGTCATTTTCATAGATCTAAGTAAAGCCTTTGATAAGGTTTCCCATTCTGGTCTTAAATTGAAACTAGAAAGTTTTGGAATTCATTATGCAGTCATAGACTGGCTAAGTGACTTTCTTCATGAAAGGAGACAACGGGTAAGAGTAAATGGGGCTCTCTCATCGTGGGAACCAGTAAAAAGTGGCGTCCCCCAAGGCACGATTTTAGGTCCTCTTCTCTTTTTACTTTATATAAATGAATTACCAGCTATAGCTAAGTCATCCGTCCTACTATTCGCCGATGACATTAAGATTTGGAGACCCATATATAGTATGTCAGACAGAATAGTTTTACAGGAAGATCTTAACTCACTAGTTGCATGGATGAATAGGTGGTCACTAGAAGTAAACCCTAATAAAAGTGTTGTGATGCAATTAAATAACTACGATGATTCGTATCACTACACAATATGTGGACTAGTGTTGCCCAAAGTAAGAAACTATAAAGATTTAGGAGTCATACTAAGTAATGATCTCAAAACAACCAGTCACTGTAAGGCTGCAGCTGCAAAGGGCTATAGGGCATTATGGTCTATTCGTAGATCTTTCCAGTATCTGGATGGAGAAATGTTTAGATTATTATACCCAACTTTCGTACGGCCACATTTGGAATATGGGATTCAAGCAGCGAGTCCTTGTTTCAAATATGAGGCGGATATGTTGGAACGAGTCCAACGCCGCGGGACAAAAATGGTAAAAGGCTTATCTAGCCTATCTTATGAAGACAGACTGAGACACCTCAACTTATTTCCGTTATCTTACCGGCGAATACGGGGTGATCTAATATTGGCATATCGTATCCTGAACGATGACCTTGGTACTAACATGTCCTATCTTTTCCTCCCGTCTAGGGCTGAGCATTTGAGAGGACATTCAAAGAAAGTCCAAAAACCGAGATCAAATCGTCTACGTCTGGAGTTTCGTTTGTCGCACCGAGTAGTGAATTACTGGAATTCTCTACCAGAACACGTAATATCAGCACCTTCTGTTGATATATTCAAGAAGAGATTGGACCTCCACAGTGTAACAAACTGCAAGGATTAAAATAGGTCACTAGACCTCCTATCCTTATTACTGAAGACTGAGCGACATAAATAGGAAATTCCGTTTTATTCCCCCCATTCAGGCGAAAAAGCAGACATTTTGGCGCATTTCAGCATTATTTCCCTCTTAATTTTCAACGCATTTTCCCCCTTATTGGTTGTTTGAGAAATGGTTAGTGATCGGTCAAGTTGACCGTATCGCCTTACCAAAGCAAGCTGTATTAGTTCCATCAGAGGACAAATTCAAAGAGAAGTCTCATTCTGGATGAAAAATAAGCTGCAAAGATTAACAGATCAACCGACCTACAATCCTTTATAATGAACGCTGATTCACAATTATATGTCAGTTAAACCGAAAAATCTTTTACATAGACTCATTGGAAAAAGGATTTTTGTATTTAAGTGTTTATTAGACGAATTAGATTTTCAGACTTATTTAGTGTACAACTTTGTCATTAAAATAAAAGGTTGGGGTCAGCTAACCTTGAATTTAATTAGACCACAAAATCAACTTGATCTCAATATCAATATCTTTGCAATGAGCTAGTGTAAACTAAATGGTTTCTTTTCATTCGTTTGTTGGTCACTCAGTACTGTCTTATAATTTGAAAATGTCTGATAGAGGAAGAATATCTTCTTGGCTGCATCCTTCTCCGTAAAAGAAGGAAAATGTGGGACAGATTTAGGTTACTGGGGACTGACGAGGCAAAATCTCAGTATCAAAAGGCTCGAAGTACCTGTGCCTCGACCCTCCGTAAGGCCAGAAAGCTGTAAGAAGAGAAAATCGTTAGGGAATCCATAGAATGCCCTCACTAGACTGACCAAGCTAAACCTTTTCCCGCTGTCATATAGAAGAATCAGAGGTGACTTGATTATAGTTTTCAAATTGCTTAATGACAAATTTGCACCTGATATGCCCTCATTTTTCTTGTCTTCCAAAACAGAAAATCTACGAGGACACTCCAAAAAAGTTCACAAGCCCAGAACGAATTACTTGTCAGCTGACTACCGACTTTCCCATCGAATAATCAACGAGTGGAATTCATTACCTCAGCACATGGTTGAGGCTCCATCCGTCGACTCCTTCAAAAGAAAGTTGGATCAACTGAGAGACCATCATTGCCAGGACTAACACAGGCCATCAAGCCTCCTGTCCTTTCCAAACTGAAACTGAAACTGAAACTAGTCCTAGTTAGTTATTTGTTTTTATTTTTGGTGTTTAAGTGAATATGTTTATCCTAAAGAAGTTGAGTTACTGGTACCAGCATCTATCATATCGCCAGACAGGAGGCTTGGTTGATGTATTATGAAGCCTTAAAATTGGAGTTTAGATAAGCATAGAGAAAGCAAGTTCCAGAAGTAAGTGAATCAACTATATATGCATTACAATTAAGACGAAGTATAACAACAATATAAAAACTGAGGCAAAAAGAAGCGAAATGAACAGAATAGGCTAATGGTGATGATAATAATAATAATAGTAATGATAGATAAGTCGTGATACACTCATCAGCTACAGCTATCCTAACCAATTGATGACATACCGTGGGTAAGTACAAATATGTCGAGTTTCACGAATCTGCCCACTGAGTGGACTGTGATCATATTGGTTAGGAGACCATTTCTGATGGACAAGACTTGTAGCGAGAAGAAGTGAGACTTTTCCCAGTCGTTCTCCCATGTAGGATTCTTCGTTGGTTACCTCGTGGACTGCACCATTACCAAATCAGTTCACGTAATCCGTATGTATATTTCAAAAAGTATTAGAAACAATTTCACAGCAACAGCTGTAAGCTGCCTTTTCATGAAGTATAGGCTTTGGATATATATCCTCGGTTTAATATGTACTGCATGCGATAAGCCTTGACCATACTCCTTTAAGACAGTTGGAAGAATATGAGCACAGAGAATAATAGTCGTTCCATGGGTTCGGATTTTCATAATGCAATATTTTGACAGGTTCAACTTGAAATTGTTTTCTCTTCTTCCCTGAATTCTTGTAACATAAGGTCAGGCAAATCCTATTCATATTCCATGGATCTACAGATTTTGAAACCATCAATGTGTATGAAGGCAGGTTTGGCTATTTCATCGAAATTTTCTTTTACGAAAATCAGAAAGAGAAGTGATCCCTGGTTTGTTACTTATGAGACTCAAGATGCTGAAGCCCACCCCTTTGAGAGCACTGTGTTTAACTTAGTGTAAAATGTGTAGTCCTCAATGTAGTTTCAGGGCTATGAGGAGAGCGATTCACTAAAGCTCATCTCAACACTCATTATGAAGAATTAGCTTGATAGAGTGTTAACTACTTCGGCAAAATCTAAGAAAATTACACGTACTAAACATTTTGATCCTGGCTGTCGCGCGCTAGAAGGAGATCAAATGAACAAGATTTACCTTCTCTGAATATGAATTGAATTTTATGAAAACCTTTGTTTTGTACATAAGTGCTCTCATCAAGTCATTGACCAACCTTTCTTCAACTTTGCACAGAAGTTTAAATAATGTAACTGTTTTGTTGTAGGCCGGTTTTTCCTGTCTCTGACCTCAGGGTTGGAGAGCGAATGGCCTATCTCCGTTCCTTAAGAAGTTGCCAGGATTCCAGTGAATGGCTGAACATGTCAAATTACAATTCACTAGTGGTCTTCGTACAGTCACCAGGCTCACAATAACTATAAGGATGACAACTGTTAGTGGAATATATATGCTTAGATGCAATTGAGCGATACCCTATCCGGTTACAATCCAAAAGTCAAGCTACTAGTTGTCTTCCGTGTTTATTACCATTATGAAAAAACCATCCGCAACTCAGAAACGATACTCCCCGTGTTCTCCAATTCAGTACTTTCAAATTTTAATATCTAGACGTTCTTATCATTGTAAGGCGAAAACTGACCACTTTTTACGCAATAAAACTTTTCGTCATGCAAAAAATGTCAAATTGTTATACTTGATACCTCAATTTATGTAATCTCTTGATTTTCGTCCCAAGAGAGGACTATGATTAGTTACTTCAACCACAATTTTGGTCTTCGCTTTCATGATTAAGTTTTTGCTGACCTTTTTCTTCGATAGCACCCATATGGCTTCTTCGTGTTTAGATGATCTCTTTATGAGGTGATTCAGTCGACTTGTTGCTTGGCGGAAGAATCACATTTCTAGATCAACCAGCATGTGTTTTTCTCGACAAGTAACCGGTTTATATAGCTTTATGGTTTAATCACACGATGTATTCTGGACTAACTGTACAAGACTGGTATAAATTGCTAGCTATCTGCATTTGAGAGGTAGAATTATTTGACTTTCAGGTAGTCAGATCCCAAACCCTTTTTATCATGGACATTTCTCTTCACTGACGAGTAATTATTTTCGTATCATTTACAGGCTAATCAACATGATTTATCCTAGACCCGGCTGCACAAACTTGACTGAATGACCTAGCAGTCCATTTGTTGTGGTCTGCTAGCTTTTGACTGTCAACAGAGTCGATATTTTTGACTTATCCTGTTTGATGAGGACCTAGTCGGTAAAACCAATAGCCGTTCAGGCTAATAACGTGTACTCGGAGAGGCTGCACTGGAAGACGATAGTCTAATGTGAGAGCCAAAAACTATTGATTTAACCTCAGGTTTGAGATGTAATACATAATAATGTAAGAAGCGGTAACCAGTGGATTTCAAGCAGGTCTGTTGGGAGATATCAACTCACTGAAGACATTGGTGAGTTGGGTTGATATTTCATAAGATATGAATGTAAATGGATATCATAAGAAACATGTCAATATCAATATCACACTTGGCGCACTTTATGGAGGTAGCGTTGCAGCATACAACTGATGGTCGAGAATAGATACATGTGAAGTTGAGGGCTTTTAGAAGTTTCGAACTTATATATATATGATACAGGCTTCACCGTAATACATCACTCAGGTTGATATGCTATAAGGCACATTGGTCATAGAATCAGTGGGATAACACTTCTCAAGTATGAATATAAATAACGTTAGTAAGACGTAGATTGTGAGTATATGAGTTAGTACGCTTTATGAAGTTTGCGTTGTGACGTGTAACTTATGGTCGAGAATGAATGCACGCAAAATGGAGAGCTAGAAAACGCAACCTTATATCGTCCTGGGATATCCGAAGTATTAATAATGACAAGAGAGGAAACCAAAGGTTCAATATGTGTTTTTGATGGTACACTACGAGGGTGTTGAAAAGGAGAGTAAAAAAGAAAAGGACGAGAACAATCAATGTGTGGCCTATTGGACTTACTCTCTTTTATTAAGTCAAGTTTGAGCAAGTGCATCCTAAGAGGTTGAAGAAAAATAAGCCAAAGTATGGTGATGACTAGACAAGGAACTATATGAATGGAGGTGATTCAAGAAGTAGAAAGTATAGGGTTATATGTAGTTTTAAAATACAGTGAGGAGAACGCAGTATTTGGATAAACAAATGACCCTCTATTGTTCTCGTCAAAACAATCGCAGCTCATTTTTATCATTTTAGATTTTGTAGGATCATGACTGGACTTTGTTTAAGCGTAATTGTTTTCCCAAACATATAATCCCGCACTTGTTGTTGTTAAATGATAATTGCTATTTTTCAGATTGATGTTTACTTTTGGAGCATTTTATCCATTACTGAAAATTATCCCAGTGTTGTGATGAATGAAATTTCGAAATTTAGTCTGTGCACAGTTACGGTTCAGCAAGCCAAACTTTATCTGATGAAGTCGAACTATGTTCTTCTGTATAGCATGTGAAGTTTTATTGAGTCACTTATATTACATTTTTACCAAAACATAGACTTTTGTTCAATCGAAATGGTCTCAACGCAGGAGCAAGACAATCAAAAAACATCGTTATACAAATACCATACCAATACAACCGACATTATACAGTCAAAATTTCCTCTGTCATAAAATAATGTGCATTTCAGGAACAGTGGTTCCTAAATAACTGTCAAGTTCTTCGGAATCAACAGAAACATTGCTAATATAATGAGATCAAACATTCATCTGCAAGGATTTGAGAAACCATTTTCAAAAGCCAGTCAGATGATGACAATAATTCCCATTTGCCTCACTCTGTTATCTTGAGTTTGGTCAAATAAAACCTTATTGTCATTGCCTCGGCATCAGGTACAAACAAAATTAAATAGTAAAGGTAAATATTATCAAAACTTGAATAACAATGGTATAATCAAGTAAGATCGAGGGACATAGAACCACGTTTGCACAAGCCCTGGAGAAAAGTTAGAATAAGGTGTAAAGAGAAATATCACAGACTGATATATCTGAAGCGTTACGAATTCACTAGTAACGAACGGAACAAAGACACGTGACCAGAGACTGATAACTAGCTATACTGACGCGACCCAGACCCAGCTAACTAGAGTAAGAAGTCCAAGTTGGAGCGGAGAAGTTATATTCCGTAGCAGCCAGAAGCACAGTAATCAAATAAGGGAAAAAGTTAAGCGTATTTATATAGCAACGAAATGTCCTTGGGCATCGTTAATAATTAGCACA